TTGTTGGGGGTAATATGCTGATTCCAGTAGTGGGTTGCAAATCCCATCGCTACCTTTTGCTTGTGGGCACTTGTGCACGCGTGTGACGCTTCTGCGCATGCGCAGAAGTGTCCGGGCGGGTGGACAGAGCCTCCTGCCGCCCTACAGGTTTGCCTGATCCGGGGCGAACTGGTAGCAACCCACCACTGGCTGACTCTGTAAACTGCTTGGAGTGGGCTGTAAAGCACCGTGAAGTGATATATAAGTCTAACTGCTATTGCTATTGTTATTGAAAAGCTTCCCAAACAGTCTTATTTTTGAAAGTGAATATAGAAAACATGGAAGAAGTGGCTGCTTTTAATGTTCAACAAATTCTCACAGGAGCAAGCTCTTTTTAGCTCCTCTCATGAAACAAACCCTTAGTCTATGAATTATGAACAATGCATCATATTAAACCAAACAGGTGGAATTTCAGCATTGCCTACATTTTAAATATTTTCCAGAAATATTAAGGTTACTCAAAATAGCTTCAGATCAGGAAAATTACCAGGTGTTGGTATATTTAGAAAATATTAGACTGAAGAACTAATGTTGACTAACTGAAATAGCTTTCAGTATACTAAGGTGCATTAACTTTTCTTAAAAGGCCATTTTTAGAAGTTAAAATCTCTTATGTCATAGTAATTGTTTACTATGTTTACAGAAACTGAGAGATATCTCCATATCTGTGAAAACAAAAAGGAATCTCTTAGACACTATCTCGTCTGTTCTCTTGGACAATTTGAAATGAGAAAAGTCCATTTCTAAAGTCTCTTTGTTTCTGGAGCTGAATAACATTGTCAGCTCATTCACATAGTTTTGGTCGTAGCAGCATTCTCATTTAGGTTCATATCACCCTTGAGTGTGTTTTATATTATGGCAATTTACATAGCATTTTTAAGCACAAAGCATGTCAGGTTTTTCTCAAAGTTGCTATTTTGAACATGTGTTTAAGGAAAATGCAATTGTCCATTTTGAGAAAGCATAAAGGAGAGTTAAATGAGAGCAATGTTTGAGGAAAAAGTTAGTGAAAGGTTAGTGAAATGCAGAATTAAAATAATCAGCACGATCGTTAATCTTTCTATTTTTTCCCCCTCTGATTAATTTTTCTAGTAAGTTGAAACAATAAAATATTTCTGTTTCTAAACCTCTTAAATATTCATCAATGTTATAATAAACATTGTTTTATTTTAATTTTACAGTTTTTACTCCTATGGTTTTTTTTCTGCTTCATTTTTATCTTTGTGGGCCATGGACAGTTTTATAATAGGAGCAGCATAGGAATTATATAAAATAAGTGAATGAATAAATAAGTTAGATAGTAATTTGCCATTGCAACTATTATAATTCTCTGGAAGAAAGTTGCCATACAATTTTTCATGAAAAAGCTTTGTTCTCTTTTGTAATGAATGCCCAAATTCAAAGAAGCATACTCACTTGGATATTTGGATATCTTTTTCTTCTTTAGATGGGATAAGGATAAAGCTGCAGTAAGTCTCTAGTTCCACCAGAATGAATGGCAAACTCTTGTACAGACAAACAACAACAAAATGAATATTTGGGAAGTGTTTTAAGAATTGGAGTTGACAACTGCAACTCCGTATTGTATTATAGGAAGTTAGCACCCACCCCTCTCCTAGAAGAATGAAATATTTTAGGAAATATTAAAAAGGCAGAATATATTTCCCTGGATGAGAAATGGAGAAACATGTTTTAAAGACAAAGCAGCTCCTACTTTCCTGCCCCCCCCACTTTTGTCAATGGACCAGAGGCAGAAACCCAATCCCCCACCCCCTTTGTCAATGGACCATCATCTGCAACACAATAGGACCCATTTAGCAACAGAAACTCCCCACATGGCACCTGGGGAGATTACATCAGCCAACAAGGCTAGCTAAGACCCACACCCCCTGGGAGTCTGACAATCAATCAGGATACTCTTCCTGTGCCCCAGGAAGTTCAAAGCCAGAGACGGTATAAAACCCAGGGACTCTCAGCATCTCTGCCCTTTTCTGCTCAGGAACTCAAGCCATATGATTCTGCTCAGGAACTCAAGACATGTGATTCCTGTCCACCATTAAACCATCTTTCCAAGCAGTTTCCATGTTTCCAGTGTCTTTTCCCCACTTGGAACTGAACCCAGAAGGATATTTCTTCCAACAGTATAAATCCATGAATGATTGATAGTTATGTCCCATCAACATGGTATCAACTACATACATTTTCTTAGGCTGGCCTGCCACAACTTGGTCCTTTAGGCCTTCAGTTGCAATATTCTTCATTGATGCAATCAAATCTATCCTCTTTGTTGCTGATCACCCCCCTCCTTTTCTTCCATCTTTCCTGACATTATAAACCTCTCTAGAGAGCTACATTTTTGCATAATGTGTTTAAAATATGACATACTGTGGCATGCATCAAGCAACTTTTCCAAAGGCAGATAAATTAAGCCATATTCCTATTCATTTGTAGTGCAGAAGGGCGGGGAAGAAATTTGTCCTGCCAAGAAAATTATTATCATAAAGACTGTTTCATTCTGAAGTTTTTGGAGGATTTTATCTCCTTTTGCTACTTATCTTTTGACAAAAAAAAAAAAATCCTTCTTCACACAAATCATTTCAAAGCAATATCCTGGAAAGAAACCTTCCTCTAACAAAAACTCACTAAAAGAGATGAAATATTATTATTCCCATCAATGAAGCTGTTGCCTTAGAGTGGTGATTCAGTTTCATAATCATCCAGCCAAATTTTAGCAAATAGTAAGCTATCCTTGATTTATAGAGACAAAAAGAGGGTCTAAATATATCCCAGAGCAGCATTTCTTCACTTAATTCAATTGGACAGTATTTCCTAATGCCCTGAATAAATAGAGATTTCATTTCCTGAAATGCGTGATGCTACAGATATGGTGGATGTCTATGGCTTGATAGACAGAGAGCAATTTTCAGCTGTTTCACTTCGCCAGACTGATGATTATTTAGTATTTATTTATTTCATCCATGGCTGCCGTTTCACAGACAAGTGACTGAGTGGTGTACGACGAAGCTAAAAGCTGACAAATATTAACATTGTTATGTTTAAAAATGTTAAAATTATAAAAGGCCAAAAGCTATATATATATGTACTATATATAGCAAAAAGCAGCTGTTAATTACACTGGAGCCATCTCAATATTTCACCAGTCCCCTAAGGTCCTCAGGCTTGATGACATAACCAGATCTTGAGGGACTACTGAAAATTTAAACCGGATAAGGTCAGACTGGTTTTCAGGGAAAGAATGTTCCATAAAGTAGGGAATCCAGCAATGAAAGCTCTCGATTTGATGGGACCGGTGCGGCATGCCTTCTTTGCTAGATCTAGTGCAGGGATTCCTAACCCCCACTCCGTGGACTGGAACTGGTCTGTGGCATGCCAGCAACCAGGCCACACAAACAGGCGAAGCCCCATCTGGAGCAGGCAGTACACGCAACAATGCCCCTTCCTGTTCTCTCTCTACAGAACCAGTCCCTGGGGTCCAAAAGGTTGGAAGCTGCTGATCTAGAGGGATGGACAGATAGAATCAGGGAAGGACATTCCCAGAATTAATATGGCCTCATGCCATATTGGGCTTTAAAGAACAAAACCAGCTCCTTGAATTGGACCCAGAAACAGACTAGAAACCAATGCAGCTTGTAGAGCAGCAGTGTGACTTCTAGAAACACACCTAGCTGCCCATGTGATTGCAGTCTGTACTAGTGAAGCTTCCGGATACTCTTCAAGGCCAGCCCCACATGTAGATTGCATTACAGTAGATCAACTAGATGGTGACTAGGGTAGTATAAGTGACTGTGAGTAGAGACCCTTGAACTAGGAATGGGCACAATGGTTGCACAATGCAAAATTGTACAAAGGCCCTTGTAGCCACTGCTCCTTGAACAGGAATTGTGAGTATAGGAGAACTGCGTGATTTCACACAGGGTCTGTTTGGGACAGTGCAATCCCATCCAGAGCAAAGATGGTATAGTCTCAGAACCGGTGGGCCCCAAGGTCAGTCAGTCTTGTTGAAGCCTGTTGTTTTCCATTTAGGCTCCTACAGCCTCCGGGTACCAGTGTAGAACATCCACAGTATTATTTAGTTTGCTAGGGACAGAGATCTATAACTGCATATCATCAGTGTACTGACACCTCATTCCATGACAACAAATGACTTCACCCAGTGGCCTCATGCAATTGTTGAATAGGAGCACAGAGAACACCAATCCCTGTGCCATCCTACACAGTAGGGGACAAGGATCTCCCCACCCCAGTCATCACCGATTGGATCAATCTAATGGGTGTGACTTCCCTTCAGTGGATGGCAGAGTGGTATCCCTGGCAATCAGGGCTTGATCTGATCATGACAAAGGGGGATTCCAAAAGCTCCCCCAGTTCCAGATCACTCCATCAGATTTCTTTTTATTGTAGGAACATTTTGCAAAGTTATTTGCTTGTGATTCAGAGCCACTTTAAAATATCACAGTTTCAAAAAAAAAAGTAAGAAAATTCCATTTTCCTTGAGATGTGAGGTTCTGTGGATAAAAATCTCTACATTGGGATGTTATGATTCAGATGTATCCATTTGTCTGGGAACTCTCTCAGGTCCTGTAAAACTAATGCAATCTGTTGACAGATGTTCTTATCTAAAACTTACTCCTGCTGTGCCTGTTTCCTGTTGTTGCTTATTCTGTCTCGGATCAGTTTCATCTTTTTCAGCTCTAACTGGAAAAGAAAAACAAGAAATAGTCAATGCCAATATATCTTGTTTTAACAGGACAATAATGTTGTTGTGTTCTGTTTTGTCATACGATGGGTTACCTTGGTTGCTCCTAATGTCTCTGTTTTCTCATCTCTTTCTAATAAGTACATCCGTGTAACTGATCTAAAATTTGCTGCAGTGGTTTCATTTCTTGGGGGTTATTTTGCAATGCCTTTGGCTTATTGGGTCTCCTTTTCCTTCTTTCAAGGTGCCTCATCTCCTGACATGGAGTCTAGCTATGGGGGAGGACTATTGGACATGATGAAAGGTGGTGCAGGGAGACTCTTCAGCAACTTAAAGGATAACTTGAAAGACACTCTAAAAGATACTTCTACTAAAGTGATGCAATCTGTTGCAAGGTACTTTGAAACACACCTATCTGAAGTGCTCAGCAAGCAAGACAGTCCCTGTTAAGATCCCCTGTTATAGAAAATGACTGGATGTTAATAGGCTTGTGGAAAGGGAAATTTGGTTATTGAGCAATTGAGTAGTGAAATGAAAAGCATTTTAATAATTAAACTCAATTAGCTAAAGTGAAAGATAGAATCTGAAATTTAGGTAACATGGTTACAGACAACTTAACTGTCTTACTTGGTTACTTAACTGGCTGCCTTGTTCGGTGACTGTTTAAACTTATGAAAGAACTGAAAATGTGGGTTTACTTTGGGTCTTCAAAGTATTTGAGGCTATTGCAGTGTTCTCTATTTCTCAAGTTCTTTCCTTTCCCAGGACTGAATTGGCATTTATTTTCTCATCATGTCTCAGTGACTTTTGCATACCTTTGTCAAGGCCATCTCTGCACTCCGTCACAATTAAGTTGTCATATTCGAAATCCACTGAAATACATGGCACAATTAATTCAGGAATGTTAGGCCCATGCGATTAGGACCTTGAACAAGGACTGACAGCTCTAAGTGTGCATTATTGGTGAGGGGTTTCCCCCCCTCCCGCCGTGAACCCAAGGAAACACCGTTTTGAAATAAGACATTTTTCATAAGAATATGTACTTAAATGAATGCTGGATCAGGACAGAAAGATCCTTACAGTCAAGGACAAAAATATCATTAGTGCTGCATTATGAACCAAGTTGCCATCCTCAACTGTCACTGTTTCTAGTGGGAGATTGGGATCATACAAGCTCTTCCCTGCTCACAACCACCTGCTACCTTCACTGATTGATTGATTATATGCCATCAAGTCAGTAATGATTCTTAGCAACTCTATGCATAGATTTTCTCCATTACATATCCATCACACTCATAATATAGTATATATATATATATATATATATATATATCAGGGGTGAAATCCAGCAGGTTCTAACAGGTTTTGGAGAACTGGTAGTGGAAATTTTGAGTAGTTCAGAGAACCAGCAAATACCATCTCTGGCTGGCTCCAAAGTGGAGTGGGAATGGAGATTTTGCAATATCCTTCTCCCAGGAGGAGAGGGAATGGACTTTTAGCAGTATCCTTCCCCTGGAATGGGGTAGGAATGGAGATTTTGCAATATTCTTCCCCTGCCACACCCACCAAACCACGCCCACAGAACGGTAGGGGAAAATTTTGGAATGTATGTATGTATGTATGTATGTATGTATGTATGTATGTATTTCTCTTTAGCCAGGTTCTACCTACGTAAACCAAGATATTATGCAGCCCTAGTTCAGTGAAATCACAATTCACTAGTTTCTGGGCTTTTTTTCTTTTCTTCTGGCAGCCAGCAGACCCTTTGCTGCCCATTGGGAGACTAAGTTAGATCTATGTCGGCCTTATAAGGCCTCATCAGTTAGCCACACCCTCATCTCATGTATCCTCCCTGTAAAGGTACAATATTTGTTTTTCTTTCTTTTTCGTAGGTTTTATGTGTATTTCTCTTTAGCCAGGTTCTACCTATGTAAACCAAGATATTATGCAGCCCTAGTTCAGTGAAATCACAACTGATGAGGCCTTATAAGGCTGAAATAGATCTATCTTAGTCTCCCAATGGGCAGCAAAGGGTCTGCTGGCTTCCAGAAGAACAAAAAAAGCCCAGAAACTAGTGAATTGTGATTTCACTGAATTAGGGCTGCATAATATCTTGGTTTATGTAGGTAGAACCTGGCTAAATAGAAATACGCATAAAACCTACGAAAAAGAAAGAAAAACAAATATTGTACCTTTACAGGGAGGATACATGAGATGAGGGTGTGGTTAACTGATGAGGCCTTATAAGGCTGAAATATATATATAGTATTTTATTGAATAGCCCAAAGGCCTTTTCAAAAAAAAAAAAAGAAAAAGAGAAAGATAAAACAAACAGTTACAGAAATAACAGTGTAAAAATATATGATATATGGCATTAAAATTTAACAATATCGAAGTTCAATAACTAAATTTCCAAAACTAGATAACCCAAATAGGATAGCTCCTCTCTAACTCAGCTCATCTTTCTTACAATCAATGAAATTCTTTTCAATATAACTGGCTCGTATTGCTGTCATCCTTTTAAGGTAGCAAGTGATAGCTCTTACCAGGGGAGGAGAGTCTGCCTTCAATAGAAATGTTAATTTATGCCTTACATTCCAGTGGGCAAATTTATTTATAATTGGGGACAGATATTGTTTTCTTACTTCCTCATACAGCCTACATTCAAATATTATATGCGCCGTATCCTCCACGACATTTGCCCCACATATACATGTTCATTCGTCATACAGGATTTTCCGGTAACGGCCGAATTTAACGTTGGTATCTAAAAGTTCAAATCTAAACTTGACAAATAGTTCTCTCTCCACTGATGGCATTTCTAGGTGTAAATATTTTTCCAGGGTGAAAGTTGTTTTAACTGCTGTCAGAAGCTTAAGGGAATGATTAGTTGAAAGAGTTGCCATGTCCATTTGCCCATGTATATCTTTAATCCGTTGTTTAACTTGCTTCAGTGTGTCGCACAACGGGAACCCTATACCATATCGATTCAATATTTCTGCCAGCTGAGTTAGCCAGGAATACCTTTGGGGATTTGAAATCTGCTGTTCCTCTAGGCAGATTTTGGGAAGTCTGCTGGCTTCCATCTGAGTCATTTTTAGCCAGTAGGCTATCGCCCTAATGATTATGTAGGTGTACAGTGAAAAATGTCCCAATTCAGCTCTGACGGCTGCTGCCGAAGTGGAGTTGTTTACCCCCAGCATCCTCCTTAACAAATTATTTTGAGTTCTCCCCAATATGGGGGCCTCAGTAAGACCCCAGATTTCCTATAAGGCCAAAATAGATCTATCTTAATCTCCCAATGGGCAGCAAAGGGTCTGCTGGCTGCCAGAAGAAAAAAAAAAAAAGCCCAGAAACTAGTGAATTGTGATTTCACTGAACTAGGGCTGCATAATATCTTGGTTTACGTAGGTAGAACCTGGCTAAAGAGAAATACACATAAAACCTACGAAAAAAATATAGTAACCCCAACGTTTTTATTGATCACTAGATTGGAGAGTGACTTCTCCCTCTCTTTATTTATTTATTCATTTATTTGATTTGATTTGTTAAGGCCATCCTATTCCAAAAATTGAATTGGGTGGTTAACTTACAACATATCTGATATATTAAGTTAAAGAACAGAACTGAAGTGACAGGACTGCCCTGACTAAAAGAAGCAAATCTCAACTTTTTAAAAAAATAAAAATCAACAGGGATTCCACAGACACTCTAATGACATGCCTGGGAAGAGATCCAGATCTTAAGGTACTTCTAAATGTCATAGGGAACAGGAGCTTTCTGTCTCTGGGGGGGAATGTTGTACCATAAGATAGAGGCAGCGATAGAGAAGGCATCTTTTCTTGGTCCACAAGATGACAGCTTTTAATTGAGATGACCTAAAATGTACCTGCCCTGCCTGAATGCCACGGATGGGCAGAAACAACTGGAGACAGGTGATGTCTCAAATAACCGAGCCTTATGGTATGAATTGGTAATGACCAACATCTAGAATAGTGTTGGAAGCCATGGAACATAATGAGAAGTGGCCATTATTGCTTGGGTGCCGCATTTTGAACCAGCTGTAGCTTTTGGAGGGCATCTTCATGGACAGCCTCATTAGAGTGCATTGCAATAATCTAACCGGGTAGATGATGGGCCTGCCAGGTGAAGAAAGGGCACAACTGGTGCTCAAGATAAACCTGTGCAAAGGCCCACCTGGCCATAGTTGCCACCTACTCTTTGAGCAGTAGCTGCAGGTCTGGGAGGACCTTCAAGTTACATATTAATCTTGAACAGGAAAGTGCAACTTCATCCAAGATCAAAAGTCTTCAACACAATCTTGTCAGGATTGAGGCAAAGTCTGTTCGTCCCCTTTCCTATGCAAACAGCTTCTAGACAATGGGCCAGAACATTGACAGCATCACATGCACAACTTGGAGTTGAGATGTACCTTTGGGATCATTCGCAGACTCCTTATACTGAACTGTGAACTGATGAGTGACCTTACCTAGCAGTTTCATATCAGTCATAAATAGGACCTCTGAACTCTGAGGCACTGCACAAATGAAGAAATGTGGGCCCTGTCTCTCTTCTAATATTGACCTGAACAAACCACTAAGAAAGGATGTGAACCATTGTAACAAAGTGATCCTCCCCACTCCCAACTTCTGGAACACAAGAGTACCATAGGAGATCGTATCAAAAACTCTTGAAAGATCAAGGAACACAAGGAGGGATGCCATAGGTCATCAACAAGCACAACCAATGCTGCTCTATTAAAATTTGGCTTAAAACCTGACTGGAAAAGTGTGGAATTTAACAGAAATAATGAGTTCTTCTAGCATAGATTTTCAATATGTAGCAAATGGAATAGAGTGGAGTAGAGTAGAGTGGAATGGAATAGGCCATGAACACTTTAATGAATATAGAATTCTACTTTATTTGGTTTTTCTTTTTCTCCTTATAACTGGAGATTTTTTATTAGGTAAATAAATAATATTTATTAGGTAAATATTATTGTGTTTAGTCTCAATGTTTGTAATAAGTGTGGGAAAGGTGATTGGTCCCTAAAATATCCACTGAATGTAAAAAAAAAAAAAGGTGATACTACAAGTGCATGCTTGATATTTTTATCAGACAGTTATATATTTATGCATTAACCAGAATTTACTTTGTTGTTCTCTTCTGTTTCCTTTTATAGCTATGCCAAGGGAGAACTAGATATTTCTTATATTACCTCAAGAATTATTGGTAAGTGATCAATTATTTGAGTAATAGAGCAATGCAGCAACCTCCAACTTCTCATTGCCTATTTTATTTGGGTTTCACTTCAGAATATATGTTTGTCGTCCCCCCCCCATTTCTTGATAGTGATGTCATTTCCGGGTGAAGGAGTCGAACTGGGATTTAGGAATCATATTGACGATGTGCGGACATTTCTTGATTCAAGGCATCCTGATCATTACACAGTTTTCAACTTGTCACCAAAGTCTTATCGTACTGCACGGTTTCATAATAGGGTAAGTTTTGCTGATGCAGTGATGTGACAAAGACCATGGTAAGGTTGGGATATTAAAGTAATATGTAGCTGGTACCATGTCAATCTGCCTTCGAAAAGAAAGAAATGTCATATTAATGATCAGAATCAAGACAGACTGGGGCAGTCTCTAAATTCCATCAATTTCATCCATCTTTGGATCAATATTTATTAAGACACTGTATAGCAGAAGTTAAAAAGTTAAAAAAAAAGATCAGGGTAGTAATAATAAAAGAATGTTACTACCACCAATTTCAAATTCACAGTAAAAATTAATTTATTTCCCAGAATGGTTAAATATAAGGAGCTAATCTCAATTCTGAGCCAGTAGCTAAGGCACCAGTCTGGAAACTGGAGACTGAATTCTGGCTTAAGCACAAAAGTCACCTGAGAGATCATAAGCCAATCCCTCTTTCCTAACCGGAGGAAGCAGGCAAGGGCAAACTATTTCTGAAATATATTGCCAAGAAAACTGCAAGGACAACTCCAGTAAACCACCAAAAATCAGGAATCAAAGGTATGCATGCAAAACATGCACACATGAATCAGTTCTGCAGGTTAACTCCAAGGAATTCTAAAACAACTGATTATATTGGCTATAGTAACAGAATCTTGCAGGTTGGATTGTTTCCTATGTAAGGTATTCCTGTGGAGAGGCCAGATTGTATAATCAATAGCCATCTAGAGACATAAATGCTCAGAAGAAATCTTTTTGGGTGGGGAGGAAGGGGGCTTGTCCATTTTTCTCCAACTCATGGAAGAAAATCATTGTACTAAAGAATTGCTATACTCTGGATCTTCACATAAATAAGGAAGTTTTCTTTCTTTCCACAATGTATAAGCACATAATTTAAAAAAAAAAAAACCTAATAAAACAAACACCTTGAAGGATTAATTAGCAGATGGAAAGTTGGTAAAGTTGAGACTGATAACAGCATTTTAAAATTTTTGTATTATCATTTTAACAGACCTCTTTCTAAATGATGGGTTTTTAATTAATAACCCATTTTCTTCATATTGTCATTAAATGGATTATAGTATGAAATCCATGCGTTGCCTGTTCCTCTTGACGTCACTGGCTTGGTTTTTGTTCAGTTGCTATGTCATGTCCAACTTTTCAGACCCCATGGACCTTAGCATGCCAAGCTCCCCTATCTTCCACTGTCGATCAGAAAAGTCGGCAGTTTGGTGATTCAAATCCCTAGTACAGGTCTCCTATGTGAGCAGGGGGTTGGACTAGATGACCTCCAAGGTCCCTTCCAACTCTGTTACTGTTAAATCTGACAGCAAGCTAAGATTTGGAAGCCTCCCAGAGTTTGCCCAAACTCATGTTCATAGTGTCGCTGATGCTATCTAACCATTTCATCCTCTGTTGTCTCCTTATCCTTTTGCCATCAATCCAGTAGTGAAATCCAAATTTTTTTACTACCGGTTCTGTGGGCGTGGCTTGGTGGGCGTGGTGTGGCTTGGTGGACATGGCTTGGTGGGTGTGGCAGGGGAAGTATACTGCAAAATCTCCATTCCCACCCCACTCTGGGGCCAGCCAGAGGTGGTATTTGCCGGTTCTCTGAACTACTCAAAATTTCCGCTACCGGTTCTGCAGAACCTGTCAGAACCTGCTGGATTTCACCCCTGCTTCAATCTTTCCCAACCTCTGGGTCTTTTTGCTAAATTTCTGAGTTCACATAATGTGCTGTGGTTAGGTCTAACAGCAGGGACAATTATTTGTTTCAAAATAGTAGGTGAAACCAAAGTGTTACAGCCAACACCTTATCCTGTTTTACATATGTGTGAAGCCATAGGCCTTTTATTGCTTTTTGAAGGTCAGGAGTTTAATCATCCCTGCAGATGAGCCTGATCATGCCTAAACAAATCATACTATGTGATGATTTGATTTGTAGAACATACTTGGGTCTTAAAATATGCCAAACTGAAAGCTACCTGATCTCTTTCTAGCTTTCTCTTATGCTGTGCAAATTCAGCTGATTGTTACTACTGGTTCTGACCTGTTTTCATTCTGTGCTTCTTTAGGTATCTGAATGTAGTTGGCCAATTAGACAAGCACCAAATCTCCACAATCTCTATGCTGTTTGTAAGAATATGCATAACTGGTTGCAGCAGAATCCAAAAAATGTTTGTGTCATTCACTGTATGGTAAGTCAAGCAGTAAGTAACCATTTGTATGTAGATCTATATAGAAAAAAATATTTTGAAATATAAAGTGTGACATAAACTAATGTCCTTTTAATGAGTAAAGATTGCTGGTTGTTGAAAAACAATTGATGTTCAATAACAATACAAAGAAGAACTAAAAAACCCTGAAAATTGACTTGTGGCAACAATATGAGGAGGGCAATGCTAAACTGGACAGACAATGCAACATTTTGAGATATTTCTTTGTCAAATTTGATAAGAGCCTGTAATGCTTTTGGGTTTTCTCTTAGCTAGATATTTATAGCTTTACTGATGAAAAAGTAGAAGACATGGAATATCTTGTTCCTGTAATTTAATTCCTGCAGTTTTTTGTATTTGATCCAAATTTGTTTCTAATAAAAATTCATCAATTTTCATATGCAGTAAATAAAACAAGACATTTGGAAGAAATCCTTTTTAAAAAGGGGAGATGTAGTCCCTATAATGGTTTTGCAGCATATGGTTTTTATAACTATGTGAATAATAAATGATTCTTTTTTACAAATGGATTGTTTAGTTTATAGGGTTGTGTTCTTAGAGAATTTAGAAGTATGTCAATAGTACTTTCAGGATGGTAACTGGAAAACTTGGTATCATTTCCAACATCTTGCCAATTATGTCATAAAACTCATGATACTGGTTTTTCGTCACTGCTTTCTTCTGGAATGTTCCTTATTAATTTCAGGAAAGGTGAAAGTGCTATGTCAGCATCAGCAATAGATCTTATTGCAAATGTTGCAGAGGAAAATAGATATCTTAAATGCATTGTATCAAAGGCACTACCCCAATGCAATATCCCATAATATGACTCGTGTTGGAGTCTGTTACTGTTGGAGTCTGACAATTTATCTTTGGGGAGTTTTATGTGGCTGTTCCTGGAAACTTTATAGATATTACTGGAGGAACAACTGTCCATCCTAATCCTTTTTTTGATTCTTCTCTAAGAACGTTAGGAATGGATTTCCAAAGTTGTCATTTCATTTGCATATATAGAAAAAATGCAGACTGTCAATATTTTAATGCTTGTTATATTTCTGAACACATCAAAGCTAAAGCAAAGGCTGCTTAAAGTATTTACCACCTACTCAGTTGCATGGAGAGTCTTTGTACCAGACCTTTTAGTTCCTCGGGAAATTCAGTGTGTTATAGAAGTTCTTTCAAAAAATGGACTGGCATTTGCACTGAGTCAAAAATATCCATGTGGAGTGCCACTATATTAGAACATGTTTCCATAACTTTATTTTTGGCCTGAAAATGGCATTACATGCTGCATGGGCAACACAGAATGTATGCACGTTAGCCGTGAGCAGTGCTTTAAATATTATTGTTCCTTTTATGTCTTACATAAAAATTTGAGGTCAGGAAACGCCTAGCAATTCTATAACAGTCTTGAGTCTCCCACAGTGTTAATTCTAGTGGGACCGTTGACGTTATTAAACAGGCTTATGTCTTTAGGAAGCAAAAAATAAATAAATCCAAACAATAACATTTATTATTTCAATTTATTCCTTAATGATTGCATAGAAAGCAATCAGATTACCACTGAAGCGTTCAATAGTTACAATTAACAGTTTGCTAATTGTTAAGGTAGGGATCTTAAGCAGTCTGTAGAGTATTCAACACATTTAAGGCATTCATTTCAATAAGACAGGGAAAGTAGAGTATTTAGAGAAGTGATTTAATGGAGCCCACACAAAACTTTGCCTGGAGTTTGAAAAGCAGAAAAATTAAAATAAAAACTAAGTCCACTGTAAAGCTTCTTGCCATAGTAAAGAAGAGCTAGTGTAATAGCATAGCATTAAGAAATACTTTATCCTTTTTTTGAGGATTTTACCAAATTCAGAGACAATGAACACACTTATCGGGCAATATACAATAACTCAGTGTAACAGAGAATATAGCACTTTCATATAATATGTAATGGAGAAAGTCAGGCTTTTAAACTCCAGGTAAAAAGTGTCTTCTAAAAAGGATCAGCAGCAGTTCCAATTTAGGTAAAACAGGAAAAATTAGTGACTTGAGCAGCACAATCAGGTTAGCATTGTGCCAGTTCTTGATTTTTCTAATTTAGATAGTTTTTGCTGTAATGAGGATGAGAAAGAAGGTTTTTAAGGCAGAGAGAACATATTGAAAGTGTGGAAGGACATACCAAGAGTTGTGCTGGTGATGGTTGTTTAAAATAATATGATATACCACATCTGAACACAAAAGCTAAAATGATAAAAAAAAGATTAATGAAGGAAAGCATTAGTTAAATGGCAGCACCCCTATATAATCCCTTGATTGTTAATATCTTTCCTGAACAAAATTTCAAAAGAGACATTTGCTGTTCTCCTATACCAGATGATGGCTAATCTTTTCCGGACTGAGTGCCCAAAGTTTGCACGCACGCCTGAACCCCCAAAATGCAATTCATGTGTGGCCCCCACATGTGCGCTCCACCCTGTGCATTCACACATCCCCCACACATGCACACATGCCCCCCACATGCCCCGTGCCCCGTGCATGTGCACAAACCTCACCACAGTGCCCTGCCTCCCTCACATGTGAGGCAGAGACCTGAAGACCAGCTGGCTGGCAGGAGGCCCAGACGCATGCGCAGCAGAGCTGAACTTGGGCGATGGCTCGTGTACCATCAGAGAGGGCGCTGTGTGCCACCTCTGGCACTTGTGCCATAGGTTCACCATCATGGTCCTAAACTAGCAATAAGAATGTCCAGATACACCAATACTTTTCTGCTGTCATTATTTTTGAAATTTCCCAGCGATCAATCATGCAGATTGGAAGGTTGAGGGCACAATTTTAGAAGTCACATCTGCTCACCATGGATTCTTCTTTTATACCTTAATGATATCAGAATTTTCTGAGAAAAGGGTGTCAGAATGAGGGCATCCCATTTCTCTGCCAAACTAAGGTGACTTTGCAAGCTAACCAAACTTCCCTTCCATCTTCATTGTAGAGCATGATTTTGTTGTTGTTGTTGTTTTGGCTTTATGGCTTGACCAGAATATTGAGACTACCCAAACATTAAGGAAATTATGGGTATAATTTAGGCCCTGGAGAAGCAAATCAGGTAACAATGGTTTACTTCCCTAAAACACAGCAAAGGAATTTTCATGGGATTTGGATTTTTGAGTATAGGCTTCATAAAATTGTGTGCCACTTAGTTCTTCACTTGGCATGTCAGGTCCTGCTCATCCATGATTCAATATTTTTTCTATCCTTCTATACCTGGAAGGCCTTTATTCACCAACAACAATGAATATAGGAAATTATTTTTAGTGAGCCAGCCAAGACCAAGAATAAATTTCAGTTGTCTTCAACCTCTGTACCCCTAAGTGATGTAAATATAATAAATATAGAACAACAGTGAGTCCTCTAAGTAAGATCCCATATGCTTTATTCAGGTTTCTCTGGGATCCCTAAAAGAGGAATAATATGGGAGCCATCCTTGATTGTTAGCCCATCAAACAATTCATTGGCATCCTTCAGTCTCAAGAGACTATGGTATCGTGCTCTGGAAAGAGGTCCTAAAACAGCACCTAGTGTGACTAAAAAGGCCAATTCGAGAGTGGCAATCTCTTCCACACTGAGAGCAGATACATAATGTCCCCTGCCCAGCCCCCAGATTTCGCTGGTTCCGGGACTGCCTCTTTGCCTCAGCCTGCCGAACAAGTGTCTCTTTGAATTGGAGAAGGCCATGCTGCGTCTCTAGCCTCTAAGCTGAACAATCGGAGGTCAAGGTTTCCCAGTTGTTAATGTCCATTCCCAGCCCATCAAACAAGTATCTGATAATTCACATTTGTGCATATAGGTCATTAAAATAATCAAAACAATACATATCTCTTCCTCTGTCATATTCCTACCATTCCTATTTGCAGATTCCCAGTTTCTCATATTTGCTTGTTAGCAGCATCTCCTCTTTATCACTATGGCATCTACTTCTAGAGATGATCAAAGCTGATGATGTCATTAGCAAATGGTTCATTTGGGAGCCATGACAGACATATCAAGCAAGTTACTCCCCTTCTCCACCAACAGAATTTTGATAGCTGGCCATCAGAGTCCACCAAGTTGCAGAGATGATACACCTGACATACCCTAGAACTGAAGTATTTTTGTATGGAGTTCACCATCACATTGGCATTGTTGCCTCTATTAATGGATTCTCCTGATTTCCCCCCAAGTAACTTCAAAGATGGTCACTTGCCACCAGAGGTAAGGCTGTTCCAACTGTTGATGACTTTTTGTAAACCATATGAAGACATCCTGTCCCAAGGACACTATTAACTGGAGAGACCTGGTCAACACCAAGTGGTATAGGAATGCTAGTCTACAGATCAACTGCAGTATCAATAGAATTTCAGGTGGTCAACCTGGAGTAAAAGTCCATATATTTGTAATTTAGTTCATAATATTGCCAATGAGCCGAGGTGGCGCAGTGGTTAGGGTGCAGTACTGCAGCTACTTCAGCTGACTGCTAGTTCAGCAGATCAGTGGATCAAATCTCACTGGCTCAAGGTTGATTCAGGCTTCCATCCTTCTGAGGTGGATAAAATGAGGACCCAGATTGTTGGGGGCAATATGCTATTTAGTATACTGTCTTTGGTGTAAGCTGCCCAGAGTCCTCGAAGAGTGGGTGGCATAGAAATATGAATAATAAATAAATAAATAACATAAATAAATTTATTAGATTTCTAGTAATCAGCAATTTTTTCCAAATACTCCTTTCTTCACCTTTCTGATTCATAAGTTATTGATGTCCTAAAATAACAAAGAATGAAGTAAGACATTTTCTTCCATTTCTTCAAAGGCGCAACACTGCAACAGAATGATGATTCATAGAGATCCATGTAAGAGAGACAAATTCATCATTATTTCCCTTCATTAAACAGCTTTTTGTCACTCAAATCTTGACTACTTGTGCAGTCTTGAAATTATAATATGGGGAACAGGCAATCATACCTTGCTGCCTTTTAGAAAACCATTTTACAGAATTTTATAGTAAAGAAGCTATAAATCCTAAGGTGCAGGCAAGTTCATTAATAATAAGATACTAGCTCTTAAAACCTAATTCAATTTGTATAGGGAAGTTGTTGTTCTAGCTTTAAGACGGGTATAGGCAGGTAGATTTGATTCCTCCCTTCAGTATTGCCCATAGAAACTCCATGGCATAGTACTGTAATTGATGGAAGAGAATATTTGTAGCTCAGGATGGAACTGTGCAGTCCTTGGTCTTGCAGAAAACAGGTAGGCTCAAAGAGCACCATGGACCATACAGTACTGTAATGATGACAAAACCTATATTTAACCACTAAAGAACATCTTACTAAAAGTTTACTCCCGCAAGGTAAACTCTCATGGATAAAAGTTAGCCAGAATTATATCAGGATAGTGAGCACAAGTCTATCATATTCCATCTTCATTTATTTAAATATGTTATCCCCCTATTTTAAAAAATGCACATAAATTGTTGTATATTCCATACTTGCTTATTCTATAAGACAGGTACAATCTTCCATATTTATCATTCCATATCAAAGGTAAATAATGACAAACTTCATATATCATATTAAACTATAATGCCATCTTTATCATTGCTTGTAAAGAGCGGTTTGTGGTTTAGTGTGATGCTTGAACCAAACTACAATAATCTTGCTTTAGTATGATGTGTAAATCTAGCCATGGCCTTTCACAGGTCTATGGAACTTAATTTTATTTTACCTTTATTTTGCCTGGAACTCTACAAATCCCTAAAACGTTTGGTTTGTTTAGCCACCCATCCACCTAAGGAACTCTCGGAGGTGAATAGAAATAAAATAACCAGCTGTACAGATCCACTAAAAATAAACTGGACTGAGACTACTAAAAATTATATTGTCAACTCATCAAACAAACCACATACACAGCCAAATTCCAACAACTTTCTGACCCTAGTGTCAAGTGGAAGTCTTTACATCCTTCTAGAAAGCCAACAGGGTTGGCCAAGAGATTGGATGAGGACAGAGCACACAGATCTTTATTTATTTTATAAGATTCTTCACACGTCACTTTGGTTATTTTATTTTGTCCTACTGTCCTAACCAGGGGTAAAATGCTCCCGGCTCAAACCGGATCGCCCGATCTGGTAGTGATGAAGGCAGGTGGTTCGGAGAACTGGTAGCAAAAATCCCTGCCCCCCGCCATGCCCAGCTGAGCTGCACAATCATCAGAGGCTTTTTTTTTTACTTTTAAAAGTATTTTTTCTACAACCTCTTTGGCAAAAAAAAAATGCTTTTAAAAGTAAAAAAAAAAGCCTCTGAAGATCGCGCGGCTCAGTTGGGATCATCAGAGGCATTTAAAAGAAAAAAACCCTTTTTTTCTTTTAAATGCCTCTGATGATCAGGCAACTCAGCTTGGATCGTCAGAGGCATTTAAAAGAAAAAAAAGGGTTTTTTTCTTTTAAATGCCTCTGATGATCCAAGCTGAGTTGCCTGATCGTCAGAGGCATTTAAAAGAAAAATGTCTCTGCTGATCAGGCTACTCAGCTGGGATCATCAGAGCCTTTTGAAAGCATTTTTTAACAACCTCTTCGCTGAAGAGGTTGTAGAAAAAATGGTTTTAAAATTAAAAAAAAAATTGGCCTTGCCCACCCAGTCACATTACCCCCCCCACCAAGCCACGCCCACAGAACCGGTAGTAACAAATTTTAGATTTCACCACTGGTCCTAACTCTATATCAGCAATGCAGCTGAAGATTTGCATTGCCTCAGTATGTAAGGGACAACTCTAAATCTCTTCGACTTGCTGCTTTCTTTATTGGGAAGAAGCCACATATTCAGCCTTTTCTGCCTATGGCTTTCATGCAAATTATATACTTACTAAATTCTACAGCAGTTATATCCATTCTGATGCCTTCCAAATGTAGTTTTTAACTACCAACATTATAATCTCTCACAATTGACCATGAAGCATGCAAGTCAAGAACGTTGTAATCTTTAACATTTGAAGGCCATAAAGTTGTCTATTTATCAGATTGCTCTGAAGATTCGTGGAAAGGAATGTTACAGGATTATCTTCTCAAGAGCGATATTGGATCACTCTGACTACATCCCACAGCTGGAAGCTTTTCTCTATCAAACTGATTATCGGAGTACTGGACACTTACTGTCTGTAATTTGAATGCTTCTGGTTTGTTGTGACGGACACGCTCTAAGTACACTTTAATCAATGAAGACTCACTTCTGGCATAGCTGGGAACCATAGATAGGATGCTGTTTTCTTCCTGTGCACCTCTGGATTACATTAGAAGAAATGAGAGAAATATTCTACCCTATTTGTTCTTCATCTTCTATTTGATGGACTTGCTTTGTTGTAGTCTATCTCCAGCTGAGCCACAGTGCCAAGTATAAAAATAACTGTATCTCACACAATCCCAATCTAGTTTTTAACCCATTGTGGGATGTTTCCATCATACCACACCAGAAGGAAGTTTCACTGTCAGTGCCTAATGGTCTTTCCTTTGCATAGGAAGCACTTGTGTATTTTTTTCTTTTTACACTTTTTTTTAAAAAAGAGCCTTGATAGTACAGTGGTTTAGTGCACCCTGTTATTAACACAGCTGCCTGCAATTTCTGCTGGTTCAAATCTCTCCAAGGCTCAAGGTTGACTCAGCCTTCCATCCTTTCTAAAGTAGGTGAAATGAGGACCCAGTTTGTGGGGGCAATAAGATGACTTTGTATAAAATATACAAAAGAATGAAGGCTATTGCTTAACGCATTGTAAGCCGCCCTGAGTCTCTGGAAAAGGGCGGCATATAAATCAAATTTAAAAAAAAAATCCGTTGATGCATTAGAATTGACCTAAGTCAAATGTTTGTTTCTGTTTAATCAGTGTAATCCTATGAACATTTTTTTTCAGAGGGAAGCATCTCAAAAGAGTTTCTGCGGAGCTTCTGTTTTAGTTTTAGTTTTAAAGCATCATTGAGCAGATCTTGTTTATAAGGTTTTGTGTGTGTTTAACAAACAAACAAAAAAAAACATGGCTCATTTGAAAGGTGAAATTTTCCTGATTGAGGGTCTTGCATTTTGTCTGACAGGATGGTCGTGTGGCGTCAGCAGTCTTGGTCAGTGCAATGTTCTGTTTCTGTCATCTCTTCTCTAATCCAGCTTCTGCTGTTCAATTGCTAAATTCAAAGAGACCTGGGGTAGTACTCTGGCCATCCCACAGAAGGTATAGTAAATGTGTTTTATGACTGACAAATCATGTGCAATTTATATTATATCAGGGGATACTAATTCACTTAGCAATAACAAAAGCACATAGATTTATATACCGTTTCACAGTGCTTTACAGCCCTCTCAGCATATTGCCCCCAATAATCTGGGTCCTCATTTTGCTGACTATGGAAAGGTGGAAGGCTGAGTCAACCTTGAGCAGGTGAGAATCAAACTGCTGGCAGTTGGCAGAATTAGCCTGCAATGCTGCATTCTAACCACTGTGCCACCACGACTCTTAGTTCCTGGATCCAGATTTTAGTCAATCTCATTCTTCTTTGTGGTGGTGCAGTAGTTAGAATACAGTACTAGAAGCTACCTCTGCTGACTGCTGGCTGCAGTTCAGCAGTTCGAATTTCACCAGGCTCAAGGTTGACTCAGCCTTCCATCCTTCCGAGCTGGGTAAAATAAGGACCCAGATTGTTGTGGGCAATATGCTGATTTTGTAAACTGCTTAGAGGAGCCTGTAAAGCACTGTAAAATAGAATATAAGTCTAAGTGCTATTGCTATTGCTTTTGCTTTTTAACACCAACAGTTACCTTTATTTTTGTTTCTTTGAATGTTGACTCCTAACAACTACCTGGCCAAATCCCTGCAGTTTTCATGTCAAGATTTTTTGTCACTGCCTTTTCCCAGGGCTGAGATAGAGAGTGACTAATGCCAGGTCATCCATTTGGCGTTGTGCCTGATGCAAGACTAGAACTCAGTTTTCAGTTGAGTTTCTAGCCTGGTGCCTTAAATTATATCAAACTGGCTTTCTAACAGCTTCCTAACTGCACTCAAGTCAATGGGAATAGTTTTATCAAATTTGGCTGAGTGGCTGAAGCTTAGCAAATGTTTTAAAAAGGTTTTCAATGATAGTGTGAAACATTCAATGTTATTGAAGGTTTTTACACTTCTGGTTTTCTACAGCTGCATTCTCAAACATATATCGAGAGAGTCCTGTTAAAGTAAGAGTCTTCTAATTATGTGGGGACAATCTTCAGTTGTTCCCAAAGAATATAAATATTTGGTTTTAGACAGGAAGCCATCACCTTTTCAAAAGTAGAAAAATGTATATTTGGACAGAAACATCTAGATCAGATTTCCTCAGCCTGGTTCTATCTTTCCAAGTGGGATTCATGATAGAAGTTATACTACAACATACATGGGGTGGAGTAGGGACAATAGCATTGGGAAGATTGATTAAATTCTATGGCAAGGCTGAACATGGACTACATCCAATTTATTTTGGGACCTGTGCTCTTCTGGGCCACTTGCCACCCAGCTGGTTGATGGGTAGCTGAAAATAGGAATAGTTAGAAAGGATGGTTTCCAGAAAATCAGCAGCAAAATGAAGCAGAATTTTTTTTTGCCACTTTTGTATATTAAGTACTCATTCTCTTAGAGGCAGGGAGAGCTTGCTTCTGTAGTTTTTAAGTCAAATGTATCAAATCTATATTTTTATTTGTTTTCTTCCTTGATTAATTCATGATTTTGCACTGGATTTGCTCTTTTGACATTAATGTTTGCAAGCATGCCTTAAAAATTAAATTTTCTTGACTATAGGATATACTGTTGAAAATCTTCATTATGATAATCAACCAAGTCTAACCCTGAAGAGCCAAAGAACATGGCCAGTAATACATGTAGATTTTTATGAATTCTGTTTTTCATTGCAGATATTTAGGATATATTTGTGAACTAATAGCAGACAAACCTGTCCAGCCCCACTGCAAGCCTATAACCATCAAATCAGTCCTTCTTAGCCCAGTGCCCTGTTTCAACAAGCAGAGAAATGGCTGCCGGCCTTTCTGTGACATCCTTATTGGAGAAACTAGAATATTTACAACATCACTGGAATATGAAAGAATGAAGTAAGCTCCTCTCTGTTGACTGCACAGATAAAATCTCACTTTGGTTGTTTAATATGTATATATCTATGGTAGCACAGGTGAGCTAATTCCACATGACCGAGGCACCCTGGCTTTGAATCAATTATGATTGATGTTGATTGGATCTCAGCAGCTACTGCTTCCTTCAGGGAGAGAGAAATCTCAGTTGCCTGAGATTTCTCATACCTTTGAAGGATATCCTACATTCGTTCATCCATCCATACACTCCTCCCTTCAGATTGACATCAATTAGCCAACCCTTTCATGCATCTATTGTACATGGATTCCGTATATTTGATGATATTTTGTGTCTTCTTCTGAAGTTTTGCTTTTGCTTCTGAGCAGCTTGAATGTCACACATAATGATCATAGATCATTAATCTATGATCTAGCTGTTTTGAGAACAGCCAGATCATTACATTTAGAAGTCGGAATAAAAACGAACAATATTTTTATTTTAATCCCAGCACTGAGCTTTTTGACTTCACCCAACTCAACAACATTGAACTGCAATGTTCAACTTTTGGGTTATAATGCATTGTTCAATGTGAATTCTGTGTTATGATTCTCATGAATACCACTTTAGGCAGAATGTTCTGCTTGCTTTTTTCCTTAGGGAATTCCGTGTTCAAGAAGGAAAAGTTGTTATTCCACTAGGAGTCACTGTCCATGATGATGTAGTTGTTTCTGTCTACCATATGCGATCCACCATTGGGGGACGGCTTCAAGCTAAAGTATGACTTGATGTATCTTTTAAATGCAAGGTTGAACGTTCAGGAACTTTAGCTGATCTAAAATATTTTAATAGTATGATATAAAAATTAGATTTAAGCATATTACTCAGAAAGACTGTTAGAATAATGAATAGTTTCCCCTAGTTAAAATGTTTGGATATGAAAAAGCAAATGTTGAAAAGTTGTGATGTTTCTTATTAAAACCTCTTTGGTAGCTTAAGGAACAAATTTTCTTTGATAATGTTACTGAAATATTATGTGCATACCAGTACTTGATGTCAGCAAATAGGAAGTGGACAGATTCATTCATTACCATGGTTGCTGCAGAAGCAACATACATCATGCATATAGCAAGGGTTGTGTCAAGAGTAATATGAAAAATACTGCTTCCACAAGCAGTCCACCCCTGGATCAACCATTAAGCAAAATAAGAATGTGCTTATGACATAGTAGTATATTTTCCCCCAGCTATCATGCCCTTAACCCTTTCATCACCAAACTCAACTTTAGTTTTTATCACTTATTGGGTGTACACTCAGTTAAGCAATGGAGAGGCCAAGGGACACTGTTGTTGGGCTGTGTTTACTGCATCCACTGGCCTTAATTCAACTTTGAATCAGTCAGAAAAATCCTATGATTCCTAGTTAACAGTCTTAGAGAACAGTTAGTGAGATAGCTTGATCCTAAGTTTAGGGAGGGGGAACATGTAGACGTGCCACTAGTCTACCATAAGCAAACAAATTAATGATGTATTGATTTATTTCCCACTTTTTAATAAATATTTTGAGGCATTTTATAAAATAAATGCCTTGGCGCTCCCATGTGACACCTTGCCTGCGCGAGCTGCGCGAGCTGCACTGGCTCCCGGTGGTCTTCCGGGTGCGCTTCAAGGTATTGGTTCTCACCTTTAAAGCACTCCATGGCTTAGGGCCCAGCTATTTGCGAGACCACCTTCTGCCACCGATAACCTCCCATCGGCCAGTTCGGTCCCACAGAGAGGGCCTCCTTAGGGTGCCGTCGGTCAAGCAATGCCGACTGACGACCCCCAGGGGGAGGGCCTTCTCTGTGGGGGCACCCGCCCTCTGGAACGAGCTACACCCAGGAATACGACTAATCCCGGACCTCCGGACCTTCCGTCGAGCTTTGAAGACCTTCCTATTCCAGCAAGCTGGGCTGGCTTGAAATTTTTAAAGGGTTTTAAGGGGTAATGGGTTTTAAATACTTTGGGAAGCCAATTGGATTTAATTCTGTTTTAAATTATTTTAAATTTTGTATTGTATGTATTTTAATCTGGCTGTGCACCGTCCTGAGTCCTTCGGGAGAAGGGCGGTATACAAATTTAAATATAATAATAATAATAATAAAAAATACCTCAGGGCAGAAAACATACCCAAACATACCCAACATTCCTTCCTCCTCCTATTTTCCGCACAACTACAACCCTGGGAGATGTGTAAGGCTGAATTGGGATTTGAACTCATAGTCTCTGGGTTTCTAGCTAGATGCCTTAATCACTAGAGGAAATTGGCTCTCTAGACCAAATTTTTATTTTCTTTATTGCTTCAATATTTTTTTGTTTTGTTTTTATGCCTACAGTAATAAAATAAAATAAAGTGAATTACAATTGACTTGATAGTTCTTCCATGATAAACATCTGAATTTTGCTATAGTTTTCTTTAATTTTAAAATTATGTATTTAACAATTCTTACAGATGACAAATACACAAATGTTCCAGATTCAGTTTCACACTGGATTCGTACCTCTGGGATCAACAACATTAAAATTTACTAAGTAAGTATTTCTAGAACACTGAACTGAATGAAAGTGGATATCATGAGGTCTTATTGTAATAAATAGCTCACAAATCCAACAAGTGGAAACTGCAGATTTGATTTATTCAAGAAATATTTACTTTGCCTTCAAAACAGGAATTTTTGAAAATAGGTTTTAGAATATAATTGCATAAGAATAATTACAATGCGTTAATGAAATAAATTCAGCTGCAAAAAGTGAGTAAAACATCCAATATATCAAAATTAATTTTGAATAAATCAAATTAAGCACAAGCAGATTCAAATAAACTCACGTATGGTACCTAATTATTGCAAAGTTTAGACCATGTGGGAATTTAAAATTAATTTCAACTTATTTTTCTGCATCAGGGTTGGATATCCTACATGATTCATGTAATATGTGAGTAGTGAGCAAGGTTCAGCGGTCAGAAGCCTGCAAGCCAGCCCCTATATAGAGATGAATTTAGGTAATTAAGAGAAGCTAACAGTATTAACAAAGCCACAGAAATCCACTTAAGTCCTTTCAGCTGGACTAATAATTCTGTTTCTCTTTTCTGTTAGCTGAAGAAGTCAGTCAGTATTCAGGAGATAGTAACTGAGTTGTATTGGCAGAGGTGTTGAGTAGGCTACAAGGATCATAGCTTCTTCTGTGAATGCTTTGGTTGGGAGATGGGTTTCTATAAAACTATTTCAGGCTGAACTAGGTTTTCATCAAAGAAAACATTAAATGTGAATGAACCTATTTATCTGCTCTAAAAGGAACCGTATATATCTTTTCCTTCAGGCATCTATGGAATATTTTCTGCATTTATTCATTTGGAGTCTGGGAATACATTAAGTCCAAAATACCCTTCTCTGATTCCAGTGAGAAATGCACTCCAAGGTCCAGATACTTAAATCTTAAATCAATTTTTATTGGGAAGTTCTATAGGACTTCTTGCTTATTATCACATAACATTAGTACTCTATTTAAAAATAATTAAACATATTGTATAAGTAAATTGTCATTACTATACTCAGGCTCAAAATATGATTTAACAGGTGATCTTCAAACCATTTTTTTGACTTAATCTTTAGGCCTGAGCTGGATGCATGTGATTCACCAGAAAAATATCCCCAACTCTTCCATATCATTGTGGAAATTGAAGTAGATTCTACTGATAGGCAGACTGACTTAACTCCTCCATGGGAGAATTTCACCACAAAAGACATCAACCCAAGCATTCTTTTCTCATCGCATCAGGAGCATCAAGACACCCTTGCTCTGGCAGGTAAGGAAGACATTTGTTTTATCTGGGGGAATAATCCCCAACCTGGTGCCCACATAGATGATGAGTTCCACTTCATAAAATCCCCAGTCAGCATGGCCAAAGACTGGAGATTTCAGCTTTCATGAAAATATCAAGCTTGGCTATTTTAAATTCACTCATCTTTGATTTATTTGGACTCCTTTTACATTATAGGCAGAAGTTCTGTAGATGCAGTGCAAGATAACCTAAAGAATGTTGGCCAGGGTGCATTCTTGTCATCTCTCAGCTGGCAAGGTACATATGATTTCTCCTCAAGTAATCTATCTTTCAGAACTCACAGTTTATTTATTAGTTTCCTTCCCTCCTTCATCTTCCTGCCTCTTTTCAGGGACCTTGTACATATTACGCCATAGTCCATAGGCATTCTTTAATTTAGACAAAATATCTGCATGTGCATGGAATTCAGTTCACATTTTTGAGTCAGCCAGATTTATTCTTGCTATTTGCACACAGCAATGTATGGCTGCAAAATCACTTGAACGCAAACACCATACATTCATTTATATTTTGGATATTCTCTGTGCATTGAGAATTAAACAATATTACTTAATTATTATTGCTGGTATTGTCTGCTTTCATGTGTGGCTGCTTTTCTCCCAAGGGTTGTTTTTTCTGCCTTAGAAGAATCACAAAGTTGCTAGCTTAACATTAAGCTGTTTTTACTGCTTAGATCAAAAGGCAGAAAGAACCAGTTCTCATCCCAGCTCTGAGGACAGGGCAGCACTGGTCCATGAAGAAAGCGAGCAATCTGATGATGAACTCTTATCCCTCTCCAGTCAGCACAGTGGCACTAGCACTGACAAAATTCACGGCACTTCAAAGCACAGCAAAAAGCAGCAAGAGCAGCCAGGGCCACCTCCACAAGAGGACGCAGATCTTCTAGGTTTGGACGGCATGCCTATGAACTATCCAGCAGCCCCCACTGCACCACCATCTAACTCAGACTTGCTGAGTGACCTTTTTGGGGTTGGAAATTCTGGAGGATTAAACCAAGGCGGTCAGGGAGCTGTTGAAGATGTCTTTCAGATGGGTGGAACTGGTTCGGCACAGTCAACTCCACGGCGGCCTGCAACTTCAGCATCCCCATCGTTGTCCCCAAGAATAGGAGAAGGTAAAAAAAAATCTTAAACATGACCTTACAGTACTTTACAAACAAATTCACTTTAAGCAATTGATGCTAAACAAGATTCCTCATGAAAAAGAGTTGTGTCTTCCTTTGGATTTATAAATTACTTTTCGTGATTATTAGTTTGCACACCTACTAACTGCTATGTTTTAAGACATGTGGATAGAAGAATTTTTTGTATCTACTCAGAACTCAGATGCAAATGGCTCCAACTAGTGCTGGCCAATTTTCTCTATTTGCCAGCAGTTTCTTCACTCCCTCTATTTTATGCAACTCAGGAAAATCTGGATTTTTTTTTTTGTAGCCTAAGCATAGTATTGTACTGGGAGATAAGAGAACAGGAGAGTTTCCTTGTGGGGATTTTCAATCCTTTCTAGCCTAGTTGTATATTTTAAGAGAGAGACTATGAATAAGTGCAATATAAGATCCAGTCCAGAACCACAATATTTTGTTGTTTTGATACCAACAGTAGGATAGCTAGGAGAGAATCAGGACTACAAAATGAAAAAAATCCATCTTTAACAAGGACTGCTTTATTAGGCTCCTGTTGATTTTATCTATTGCTACTCTGGTTGCTTGGTTTCTGCAAAGAATTATGAATTCTATTAATTAGATGTAATGCTAACCAGGTATTATTTACTTGGGTGCTTTCTCTAGCTTGCTTGTATACGCCAAGGGAGCAGGACATGTTATGACACCTACTGGCACATCCTATGCCCTTGCACATATAATCGTTTACCTATGCAATCTGAATTGCCTATTTACGTTGTCACAACAGGCATTCTTGATAAGTATTTGCTGAAAGCTGTGTGTCATCTATCATCACCACAGCATGGATCCAGTGTTGTTTTCCTCAACCTAATGACTGCTGCGATCTCCCTTCTCCATTTTTACAATTAGATTTAAAAGAATTGTGACACTTGCTTTAGCAGTGGTTCACCTTAATGGCACAGTTTGTGTAAAGTTAAGAATATTACACTATTTCTTTAAAATATAAGTATATTGTCCAGTATTGGAATAGAAAGGAGAAGCATGTTCTTAGAATTAATTTTTTTTTCCAGCATCTGCCTTTGACCCATTTGGGGGTAGTCCTAAGCAACCTGTCCCAGATCTTTTAGGCTCTTTCCTTTCATCAAATGCCAAAAGTGATCCTTTTCTTCAAGCAACAAGAAGTCCTTCACCTACAATGCAAGGGGATCCTTTTAACATGGGTATGATGTCTTTTTTATTTTTAAAAACAATTAATGGTACTGACCTTTCTCCCACCCATTCCTCAAATGTGGGTTACTTACAAATGGAAGAAGTAAAATGCTTTATTTTCCAATTTCTTTAAATTGTGCTGTGAATAGTATCTGTTCATGAATGAAGGCAAATATATGTGTCCCAGGACAGGGATCCAATCTGGGTTGGTCATTGGGACCAGAGGTTTAGTCTTCTGAGCTTTCAGACTCGTGCTAGAGCCCGTCCTCAGGGAACTTTTCTCTCTGGTGACTGACCCAGATTGGATCTTTCAGTATCTGTTCAGCAGTAAAATATCCATGTTCATTTAATTAAGAATAATAAACCACAGAGTTCAAATTGTTCACAAGTGAAACAGCAAAACATTGTGTGGTTATTAGTCAGCTTTTTGGGAAAACTCTCATTTTTTAAAAAAAATGTGAATAACACTGTAATCTTATTTGCAAAAAATGTGGAACCTGTTTCATCCTCAGTGAACTGATTCAACCTTGGCAGACACTTCCCAGACACTCAAAGTGGCATGGCTGTGTGAGAATTTTTTGTTTACATTAAGTCATTGACATTGTCTGTTGACATGAATTAGAGGCCTTTTTCATACTCGCAGTATTAAGTGCTTATTTTCCAATATTTTCATGGCTGAAGCAATATTTTGCCTTCTGCTTTTCACCCAATGTCATGGAAAAAATCTATGTGGTGGCAAATAATATCAATTTTCACCCAGTGATCTGCTGGACATTGGCACAACTGATATTTCTGTATTGAGAACTCCAGTTCACACATGAGCCATTCTTTGAACTTTGACCCTGCCAATATTTCAGAAAGAGGTTATGCACATATGATCCACTCCAGGATTTGTACTAGACTATCATGGCTTATGTACCCACAGCTAAGGACAAGGAAAAGATTGAAAAAATAAAAATCTAAAATGTCTAAGTACCAAAAATACCTGGATACAATAGTCATCACAGCCAATATTTAGGGAATTGTGTTCCCTCAAAAATAATTGCAGAACAATTTTGTTCATCCTCCTACTTTACACAATTGGGAAGATACAAAAATGTTTGAAGGAGACAACTTTCTTCTGAGTAAATAAGCAGAATTTTGGCCTTCTTGCATTCTAAGAAATAAATAAGTTGATAGAGGCTAACACTTTGCTTTGCAGCACTGAAGTTTGCATTTAAAAAATAAAGTGCTATGGAATTGGGAACATAGTAGTGCACTGGTATCCATTAGGATCATGTTGGCTACTTGTGGTTTAGGCATTCTTAATAGGCATTGTAGCATGACAGTCTTTAGGGGTTGCATGACAACTTCCACCTATGTAAAGTTCATGAACCTGAATTTTCTAGGTGACCAAAAGCATGTATATTGATTTTGTGAAAATGAATTCAGAACATTTTAGGTATTCATTTCTGGTGAAATTAGTACTCACAAGCTATTTATTTTGAGAAAATTGCTCAAAATTTGATATATATTTACTTAATGAGAAGACATGGTGAATTTACGACAAACAATGTGATAAAAGCTAAAACAAATGCTTGGATAACTTTTTATATTACTATTTTTAAAATATTGCTAAATGGCAATGTTTATCTTTTAAGGTCCTTCGAATACACCAACTGTTTCCATTCAGCCAGATATTTCAGGAGACTGGGAATGGCCTAGTAAATCAGGTTTGTCTGAAATTAATATATGTTTAAAATGATTTATAGCAATAGCACTTGGTGCTTTACAGCCCTCTCTAAGCAGTTTACAGAGTCAGCATGTTGCCCCTAACTATCTGTGTCCTCGGAAGGATGGAAGGCTGAGTCAACCTTGAGTCGGTGAGACTAATAACTAATACGTTTAAGATGATTTATGTGAAAGATGTTCACCTAAGAACTGTGACATTCAGCATCAGTTTCTAAGTAGTTATTTGTTTGTAAATTTATATTCTACCTTCCCTTCAAGAGCTCAAGATGACATACTTAGCAATATTTGGGGTGGAGGCTGCCTTCAGAATTGTATTGATTCCTGGTCATTGCCTGGAGCAGTCATTGCAATTTGCTTAGCAAGATTTTTGGAAGTGTTTTGCCATTGCCTTCATCCCAGGGCTGAGAGAGAATGACTGGCCTAAGGTCACACAACTGGCTTCATGTCTAAGGCAGGATTAGAATTTATTGTCTCCTAGTTCTTAGCCTGGTGCCTTCACCACTACACCAAACTGACTCTCTCTAAATGAAATGGCAATTAGGTTCCCATCAGGGATGTAAGAGGGGATCAGCCTCCAGCAATTGTTACTGAAATTTTGAAAATATGCTTGCTCAATGGACACAACACATTTAAATTTTAATATCTTAAATTTTGAAGAAGTACTGCCCAAAGGTATTACAGAAGTGCTAATGAAATAGAAAAATATGACACTCAGAAAAGTATTGATGTATTACAGAGATTTTACAAAAGCATGTGTACTATGAGTTATTCTTCTTCTTGTTGTTGTATCATATCCGTCATCAGACGCTGGCGATCATGTTGGCAATCCTATTTTTCTCAACAGCTGTATGAAAAAGTGCTGCTGAGTTTTGTCCAAACTAGTCCCTTAGGTTTTGAAGCTATGATGTTCTTCTTCTGTCTGGGCCTCGTTTGCCTTCAATTTTTCCCTGAAGGATTAAGTAAAGGATGCTATATTTTTCTGGGTGTTGCATCACATGTCCAAAATATTCTAACTTTCGCTTTTTAATGGCTTTGATTATTTCCCTTTGCTTTCCCAGGCGGCTTATCACCTCCTCATTTGTGATTTTGTTAACCTAGCTTATACGTAACAGTCATCTGTAAATCCACATTTGAAATGCTTCTAGTTTCTTCAAGTGGTTTTCTGTCAGACGCTCTACTCCATAGAGCAGGATAGAAAAGATGTAACATCTGACAAGCCTGATTTTCACTCTTAGGTTGATGTACGAGTTATACATGCTGCTATTTATATTTAACTAGTTGTCAAAAACCTTTTTATAGAACACGAGCCAAGTTAACTTCTTTATTCTCTGTTTACTGAATAACATGATTTAATGAAAAAGTAACCTATTTCATCAACTTGCTTTTTCTCTTCTTACATCATCTAGGTATGGTGAGCAAATCAACTGCTTCCAGCCCTACAGGATCACTGCACAACACCCCCACGCATCAAGCCAAACCACAAACTCTGGATCCTTTTGCTGACTTGGGAGCTCTTGGTGCAAATCTAGCAGGTTGACTGATGATTGCATGACCAACACATGTGTATTCAGAAGTGCATGTTCATATAACAGTCTGCTGTTATTAATGTCTGTTGCCTGCTTCTCTAGAATGAATAACCAAAGTCAACCCATGAACGGCAGATAGCAAAATGCTGCCATTTCTCCAGCTCTCAGTATTTCACACGGAGCCCTAGACAAATGTTAAGCTATTGGAGGCTCTTCTAAATTTTAAATAAAACTAACATAAGCCATAAAAGATTAAAAAAAAAAGTAAAAAGAAAAGTGAAAAATAGAAAAAATCAAAAATCAAAGAACAAAAAGAAAAGAAAAGAAAAAGAAGCAACTTCCCTTCTTCCCAGCAAATATATACTTTAAAAACATATCACCGCTTCTTAAAATATAACAAACTTCTTCACCTTATATCTCATCTCATTCTCAATAAACATAAAAATCCTCACCATTCTTCCTAATCAGTAAAAGTCCAGTAAGGGTTACCAGAAACAACCACCTATCTATTATAAACTTAATCTAATAAATCTAACAAATCCACTTAACTTTTTTTTTTTAATTTGATTTATATGCCGCCCTTCTCCGAAGACTCAAGGCGACTTACAATGTGCTCAGCAAACTTCATACTTTTATATTTATATCTCCTTGTCTGTTCTTAAGTAAATCCCCCAAACCTCACCAATCAAATACAACCAATAAAGGTTACCAGAAATAATGCCTCAACTATTTTAAACTTAAATAGAAAAAATTTAAATGTAGCAAATAACCTCTTATCATTAAAACAAAACCTTAAAACATTATTTTCCAGTTCTAGTAAAAAAAAAAACTCCTTTAAAGATTGGTAAAAATAACCATAGCCCATTTTATCCTTGATCAAATAAGCACATTTTATATTCTTTCCCGTTACTCCCAAAGTCTTGATCTTAATAGGTCCTCTCAAATAATATCCCAGCATATGGTTTCTTTTCATTTATTTTTCTTTTCTCACAAAATCACCAACAACATTAACAAGTCCTTTTTGTAAATCCAGTATAAAAAGATTATGCAAGTCATTCTTCTGGCCTGTTATTCACATATCCTTTTTAATTATTAAACATCACCTAGCTTTATTTGTAGGTTCAGTTCATCTTGTTCCTTCTTAGTTAAATCTATATTTAAGTCAATTTCATTCCCCAGTAAAAGTTATTTCACTTCCATAGCATCATCTAGTCTCTCAATTACAGCAAAAAAAAAAAATCTTTTAAAGTATCTGCTAAATATTTTTTTTCACACACACCTTGCAGTGTATCCATTATTTTATTTGCTTTTCATGCCCTCTAGTGTCCAACGTTTAAAGACCCAACTTATTACACTGGAATGTAATGTAAATATCCACTGTTTCCCATGGGAAGGATTTTATAATCAATTTCAATGTTCTATTTCAAATCCTTCTGTTTCTGCTATTTTCCAAAAAATAATATTTTTTCAAGTCCTTAAGTTCATATTTAAAACACTTCTTTCACTAAGGATAAAGAGACTTACCCAGTGAATGTAGTAGAAACTTGTCAGTCGAAAGGATCTTAATATTTTGTAAAAAGATAATTTAAACATTGATTAAGAAATGAGACTCTGTTGAACTTTTGTCCTTAAAAGGCTGCATTACAACTGTAAGGTTAGATGATATTCCATCTACTCCCAACCACTGAACTCATAAACCAACTGCAAAATTGTGGTTCCTATGATCTACTCATGAGAAGTGGTTATCCAGAATACATGTGGGTTATTTCATGATCTCTCCTTTTTCTGGAGAGATTTTACCAGTGCAGATCCAGCATCCAACTGTGATCTCCATCATAAATGCCATCCCATGTTGGCAAGACATCTGGCTCTGCATAGCATTCATTAGAAGTCTCAATTCTAGTAGAAATTCTAAGGAGAACTCTGAACAATTCTCTTGTTTTGTCAAGCTTCTTGTCCATTCAAGTGTCAATATAGAGTGCTTATGTGTCAGACACCCAGGAGAGATTGAGAATTTTGCATGTGTGCTGCACATATCAGGAATTGGTGATACTGGATTTGTATTAAGGATTCCACAAATGATAGCTTTGAAGACATGGCAATGACTATGCTGGGTTCTTTTGAAGTAACTCAGAATTTCATGGGTCTGCTACAATTTGTTATTTTCAACTTTAAGTGCTGATATTTGGACAATATGCATGGGAGATTTTTTTTTTACCACCAACCTGTTTATTTGCCTCTTGACCTCAAGATATTATATCTAGTTGGAAGAATTGGGGGGGGGGAAATTCTTAAGGGCATCTATAATTAATTTACTGCTAGAAAAATAATAATTGAATCTAGAATATCCAAATAGTTATAGTTCTATGACTTATTCCCAGAGAAGAGTCTAAAACGAGTGGAGTTCATTTTACCTGATTTTGACACTGATTCCCTTGGTGGCCCAGTGGGATGGTTTTGCTAAGAGAGATAGAGAGTGATTATGATATCCTTCTATGTGATAAAGAATTTGGCTTTGAAGTGATTTCCTTCAGACTCACCCCAGAATCTGTGATCATTAAAGACATAATATTTTAGAGGGAGGAATTCTCATTCGTTCAGCTTTCCAAATACTAATAGGTTGTGTCATATATGCGAATAGTTTGATTAATGATCTTCACCAGTACATTATCTAAATGGTGAGCAATTAGAAGTTACATATCTCATTCTATCATTGCAGCTTTGGTTTTGGTATGAGAAAAATTGCTCATCTTAACCAATACAATTAAGGAAATAAGTAAGCACATATTAATGCAATCCAATTAACAGATCATAAAATGTATGGAATTGTCCATTTTTCAATATCTTTCCAAAGATATTTGGATATTATACTTTTTATAAAATGCTTTGCCCTCCTTTTTCATTAACCTTTAAAGTCTACTATGATCTTTAACAACTACATTTATACTCTTCTCTGCTGTTTGCTGCCTCGTTTGTTTACATTTCGCATTCGTATTGAAATAAGGACCATCTCTCCTGGCTTGGTTTTCTGCTGGTTTGCAGAATCAAGGCCAAATGGATAATTAATGTGATGTGGCATGGCTATTTGTGGTTATTATCTTTTTTATTTATGTCACAGTATCATGGGGTTCTTTTAGAACTGGAAGTGGAAATGACACACAAAAAGAGCTTTATGCTTTTTTTTACTATTTACAGTGAAGCCATTTTTTTTTTTATTAATTTGATTTATATGCCATCTTTCTCCGGAGACTCAGGGCGGCTTACAATGCATTAAGCAATAGCTTTCATACTTTTGTATATTTATACAAAGTCAGCTTATTGCCCCCACAAACTGGGTCCTCAATTTACCTACCTTAGAAAGGATGGAAGGCTGAGTCAACCTTGAGCCTAGCAAGATTCGATCTTACTTTAATTGCAGACAGCTGGTGTTAATCACAATGCTATTAGTCTGCTGAGCCACCAGGCCTATAGCAGTTATTTACAGCAGATATATACACACAGTTTCAGTGTTCTCCCAATGTCAGGTTTCCTCCTACGTCTCCCTCTCTCCTCCTTCCCTACCTAAGAGAGATGATTCTCCTCTATTTCTCCTGCTTCCTCCCCCTTTTCTGGGCTTACCAAGAGAGAATGAAAAGAAAGGAATGGGCTGGATTTACTGTAATGTGCTTAGCACTTTCTTCTGGATCTACTCAGCTACAGTACTACTACTCCATTGGTAAAAGAACCTTTCTCAGGATCCTCTGCCTCTCAGTCCTTCCTCAGAGGGCTTTGCCAATAACCCACGAACCCCTTCCTTCCTACCTTGAGCCTTGTGTCAGGGTTTCAAGTAACACACCCATAGAAAGTAGAACTCCAAGGCAGGCAAATTCCTCAGTTTTATTGGATGCATCATACTGGCACAACTGGTGAAAGCTGACTCTAAAATTTCCCTCAGCTTTCACCCAAATAAAAGTAAAAGTTTCCCAATTCCCCCAAGTCACTGGTCATGCTGTCCAATTCAGGTGCTGGCCGGTTGCTTGGTTACTTCACTCCTCCTCTAGCCAGCCAGCTGTGAGAATGTCCTTGGTTCCCACAGGAAAGCTTTATTATTTTGGCTACAAAACCCCATCTAACTATCTTCCCCTTCCCTCTGTTATGTGGCAACCCTGAAGCCTCCAAGATGGCCTCAGCCATGTTCACTCCAGGGTTGACACCTTGTGAAGATGTCCTCTCTCTGGGCCCTCACTTCTTTTCTTTCAGGGAAGTCCCCTGTGGACCTTTCTTTTCTCTACCCAACTGGCAACTGCTCTGCACCCCCACAAAACTTCACTGTCCAACTTCTGTCTCCAACTATATTTTACACCACATTTCTCCCTCTCTCTCTCTCCCCTCCCTCCCTCCCTCTCTCTTCCTCCCTCCTTCCTTCCCTCCTTCCCTCCCCCCCTTTCTTTTGGGATCTGACCAGCAGCATGTCCCTCAGAAACTGAGGAGGTGGGTACTCCCCGCCACCCAGGGCTGTTGTCCTCAACACCTACATATCAGACTGGCCCAATGGGCCTGCTGTTTCTACATCTCCTCACATCAGCCCCGGCTAGCAGTAGTGACAACACAGATTGCCTTAAAGCCCAAGATTGAGCTGCTTCTCCCTTTTTCTCACTCCCTTTGTTGACTCACACCATCAGCTATGCCAGGCCATATGCCACAAGTCAGTATTATTTATTTATTTATTAGTCCAATTTATATGCCGCCCTTCTCCGTAGATTCAGGGCGGCTTACAATGCATTATAGCAATAGCCTGCATACTTTTATGTATATACCTGCTTATTAGGGCTTTCGGCCCCCCCCCCAAGCGGTGTTGTTCTATACAAAGCTGGCTTATTGCCCCACAATCCGGGTCCTCAATTTACCTACCTCGAAAGGATGGAAGGCTGAGTCAACCTTCAGCCTGGTGAGATTTGAACTCACACTAATTGCAGGCAGCTGGCAGCTAAGTGCTAGCACTTAACAGCACTTAGTCCGCTGCACCACCGAGGCTCTTTATCAGTAATAGGGAAATGATACAAAGATGCAAGCAAAAGTAAAACATTAGGATTACAATTGGTGATGTCTTAAAATATATTCTTAATGAATAGAATGTTGCCTTAAATATGATGGACAAGTCTCTTGATTATGCATTTGAGTTGATTGGGTGAGTTTTTGTTTCACTCCCCACTCACACCCCAAACAGTCAATCAACCCCAACTTCATCCTGCACTTGAAAGTAACAGGATATATCATTTTATTTGTTCTGGAGAAGTTGAAGGGTACAGCCATTCTCCACTCCCACTCCCAAATCTATAGGAAATTTACATTGTAAGATCTGTGTTCCTATATATTATTACTGAGTACAATAATTGTCAGCATTTATAATCTTGAAAATGTGTTTTATTTATAGTTCCCATGACTTGATACTTGGTTATAGGTGTAACAATTCTCATTCTGGTTTCTTACTAAGCCAAACATAACATTAATACACGTCGCTTTACTTCACGTTCCAGGTTGTCCTTCCTTTGCCAGCAAACCCACTACACCTACAGGAATGGGAGGGGTTTTTCCTCCTATGGGATCACCACAGAAACCATCTCCCCAGCCAATGGGAGGCGGCAGCTGGCCACAGGGCCCTGGATTCCCTAGGCCTCAAACCCAGACTAAACCTCAACAAAGCATGCCTCATTCTTCTCCGCAAAATAGGCCGAATTATAATGTGACTTTTTCTGCAATGCCTGCTGGTCAAAATGACCGTGGAAAAGGATCGGGCAGTTCTGGTAACTGAACTTTTAATTTTTTGAACTATGTTTTAATGTAAATAGTATGTTGCTTGGTAGGCTACAAAGTGCGATATTTTCATGGCCAAGTCTCAGTTATAAATGACATGTCTGAAATTAAACTAGACACTCTAATTCTAAGAGTAACTATACATCAGCTTGCTCCAACCAGATTCTCTCTATGGGTTTTGGAAATATAACACCCCAAATTAGGAATTGTTAACAGGGATCATGGAAGTGGCAGTCGTAAGACATCTAAAGGGCCTAGGAAGACTGAATTAGATATTATTGCAGAAATGGTACTGCTGCTGCTTATTTTAATAATAAACCAATGTTTGTCCTTCTTCCCAATGACTTATAAGTGAAGAAACAGCAACATATAGATTTCTGTAAATTTCTGGATTTTAGATTGTAACTCTTAGTATTCCTCATTGTTGGTAAGGACATTTCACTAGATGTGGAAAGGGAATAACAAAACCCAGGTATACCAGGGGTGAAATCCAGCAGGTTCTGACAGGTTCTGGAGAACCGGTAGCAGAAATTTTGAGTAGTTCGGAGAACCGGCAAATGCCGCCTCTGGCTGGCCCCGGAGTGGGGTGGGAATGGAGATTTTGCAATATCCTTCCCCCAGGAGTGGGGTGGGAATGGGGATTTTGCAATATCCTTCCCCCAGGAGTGGGGTGGGAATGGAGATTTTGCAGTATCCTTCCCCTGCCACACCCACCAAGCCAAGCCCACCAAGCCACACCATGCCCACCAAGCCACGCCCACAGAACCGGTAGTAAAAAAATTTGGATTTCACACTGAGGTATACCATTTTACAGCAGTATACTTGTAATTAATTTTTTTTAGTTACCACATGTTCACATGAGTTTAAAAGAGCTGAGCTTCTCAAAGGCAAGCGAAAATTATATTCATATTATTTGAACTGCTGAGCGAGTTTAAGTCCAAAATGGGCCTATCTGATAAACCAAAGAAGAGGGAATCTTACTCAGATAGGTAGGCTAGAAAAGGCAATATATGGAGTGCTAAATTACAAGTAGTCCTCAACTTACGACCATAATTGAGCCCAAAATTTCCACTGCTAAATGAGACAGTTGTTAAGTGAGTTTTGCATTTAATGACCTTTCTTCCACAGTCGCTAAGTGAATCACTATAGTTATTAAAGTTAATAACAGTTATTAAGTGTATCTGGCTTCCACAAGGATTTTGCCTGCCAGAACTTCACAAAAGGTGATCACATAACTCCGGGACACTGCAAGCGTCATAAATACATGCCAGTTGCCAAGCTTTCAAATTTTGATCACGTGACCATGGGGATGCTGCAACAGTCATAAGTGTGAAAAATAGTCATAAGTCACTTTTTTCAATGTGGTTGTTACTTTGGTCACTAAATGAATGGTTGTAAGCCAAGGACTACCTGTATCCATTACAAAAAAGTTCTGTAATTGAATTTCTAGTGACATGCTGTTGTGGAAAGCTCTGCTTACAACATTAGCATTGCAGGAGAAAGTATAAATGCCCATATTTTTCCCTGCTGTAGATGCCTATGTATTATCATGTTTGGCTTAAGTTTTGTGGTGCAGTAATTTGATCGTGTTAGAGAAATATTGAACTATCTCAAATCATGAAGAATAATACTTATTTTTATTTTACTGTTCAGATTCTAAGCCCAAACTGTCTGCTGATTTTGAGGATCTCTTATCTGGTCAAGGTTTTAATGCTCATAGAGACAAAAAGGGTCCCAGAACAATAGCAGAGATGCGAAAAGAAGAAATGGCCAAAGAAATGGATCCTGAAAAATTAAAAGTAAGCATTGGGATAGCTTAGAAAATTTCAAAATAAAGTTTCAAAGATGTAATAGGATGTATTAGTAATTAATTGCACATTAATTATGTATGCCATACAAAAATAATGTCGATATGCTATAGAAGCTTCTCAGGATATTTTGCATTGGGGTTTTTTTCTTTATGATTTCAAAATGTTAGCATCCACATGGTGACAGTGATGGTAGAAAGGAGGGGACAGAAAATGCCATTGAGATATTCAGGAGAGTAGTTTGAGATTTCTATATGATGAACTAATCATGGTTGTTTTCTGGAATTTTGAAACAGTCTAACCAAGTTTAGTCTAATACAATGTTCCCTGGAACCGCCTGGATTGGTGGCCCAGAGGGGGGAAAGAGGGGATGATTTTGTTGAAAGGACAGGGGTGTGTGTGCGTGCATATGGCCACGCACGCCCATGACATTCACAGTGATGCTCGTGCGAGTGGGGCCGCAAACACCTGCAATGAGGTTTGTGCAAGCGTGCCGATGCTTGCACAAGTGGGGACATGTGCACACACACATGCACGCACACTGGCCAGCCACTCATGCGTCCCAGTGGCGATTAGGCCACAGCCCAATAGAAGGCTGCGGTCCACAAGTTGGGGAGCTCTGGTCTACCGTAATAGGAATAATTACATCCACCTGTTTAGCTGTTTGATTCAGGATTTTATCTCTCTACACAGATCCTTGAATGGATTGAAGGGAAGGAGAGAAATATAAGAGCACTGTTATCTACCATGCATACAGTGCTATGGGAAGGAGAAACAAAATGGAAACCTGTGGGCATGGCCGATCTTGTAACTCCAGAACAAGTGAAAAAGGTTTATCGGAGAGCAGTACTTGTTGTTCATCCTGATAAAGTAAGAAACAATGTCTTGGGATTCAGGTCTTACAAAACTAATATTCTATGTATTGTTGCAGGTAACTTCAGATACCCAAACAATTGTACATTGTTGTTACCATTATTACCTTAAAATATTAAAATCTTCTACATGAGAGGGTGTTTCTTGGGATATACAATGTATTATCAAGTGTGATTCATCTTGATAATCTTTCATTCATACTAGATCTACACAGCCTGGTGAGAAGACTTGAAATTGATTGTCCTGTTAGGAGGAAGAGGAGAGAGATGGTTTAGGTGTGAAATCTCAGGATAATTTGCAATATTTCTCTTTTCAATATTAAAAAAAGTCTAGAAAGTGTCAATAGGTTTAATTTAACTAGGAAAAAAAGATTTCTTCTGTTTTAATCCTCACAATGACTTTTTTTAATTAAAAAAAAATCGTGATTTGAAAAACTAATAGCCCCAGGTTAGAAATAAATACTTAAAGCACTCCATAGATCACTAGGATTAAGGTTTGATTTTGTGATAACAAAATATTTTTTTTGCCAATTAAGGCTACATTAATTGGCAATCATTTGCCAGCTGACAAGAGTTCTATAATGCAAGTATTTCTTTAGAATAAATGAACATGTACAACCTATATCAATCGCACTATAAATGAACATGTGCAACATTAATTTTATTGTCATTTCTTTGTTGCTTTGATTAGGAAGACTTTCCTTAGATAATCAAACTGGATAAAATGTGCACTGTTCCACGAATGAATAATATAGGTTTGTGGTTTGATTTGTTTTAAAAACAAGACTTAGCCTAACCATCTGTTCGTTTGTCATGGAATAAATCTATGGGCTTATCTGCACTGCCTGGTTGTCCAACTCTTTTTGGAGGACAGAAATAGACAAGGTCACCCTCTAAGAATCCTCATTCACTTTTGCAGTGACCATGGGGCTCTGCTTCTGAAATAGATTTTTTCCTATTGCCTTGTCTGGAGGGGGGTCCTGTCAGTTTGGGATGAAGGCTTTAGTTGGCTTCAGATTGGTCTTTGTACTTCATGGGGCACTTTATGGAGGAAGGGCGGGCTTCAGCTGAGTATTTTTCTTATATCATTTAAACCTTTCTGCTACTGTAACTGAAGCAATACCACAGTCAGTATTATTCTTGCCTTGAAAGTCAAATTTTACTGGTTCATACCCCAATAGAATGTTAAAAAAATTATTCTCATTCTCTCTCTCTCTCTCTCCCTCCCTCCCTCCCTCCCTCTCTCTCTCTCATACACACACATTTCTCTTGTGAGGTTCCTCACAAGGTTCCTCCTTTGGCTTTATTATATATTTTTTATAAAATGAAGTGTGACCATTTCACAATTCCCCCACCCCCACCTAAAAACCTTTTCATCTCAGGTGACTGGTACAAAGCTAAGCCCTAGCCATAGTGTTTGTTTTTGTTTTTTAATTAAAAGTCCATGGAGAAAAATGGATTTGCCTAAGCAATCCCAAATTTCTGTTGGATATTTCTGTGTGCACGTACTTTTCAAACGGAACTTTGTACTTATTGAGACCTGTTGTTTTGCTTTTCTTTCAGGCTACCGGACAGCCATATGAACAGTATGCAAAGATGATTTTTATGGAGCTCAATGATGCCTGGTCAGAATTTGAAAACCAGGGCCAGAAGCCTTTGTATTAGCATTCCTCCTCAGACGTTGCTGTAGATCTGTGCTAGTGCTTGTATTGTTCCTTGCCACATGATTTTCACAGCTGAACTGATGTCTGGCTGGAGATGTAAAAGTATTAATACTAGCCCAATTAAAAAAAAAACTCTCCATGGACAGGAACAAAAGAGAAGGCTGATCTTCATGAATTACAGATGCAAAAAGAAAGGAGTTCTTGGGACTGATTTATAATGTTCTTTCAGATTTAAATAGGCATTCTAATAAACTAGGATTGTTTGCCTTGGAACAGGTGAGATGAAATTGTCTCTTTGCCTTTAGCAAAAGGGACTCTGTACCACCTTGGATGTGGCTTGATTTTGAAGTTTGTATCCAGAACTAACTCAAACTATGGTACATCTTCATTCGTATGCAGTTATTTAAAACACTCTCTTTCTTATCCCAATTGGCCCTTAAATTGTTTGTTTTATTATGTTTTGAATATGTCAGATAAATAATTGGATTATGTTGCTGGTAATTTATTGCAGCCTTAAGCATAGTATTGCATTTCAAGTTTGAGATTTAAGCAGACATTCTTCACAATAGTTGAATTGGGAGTTGCATCTTTAAATAATCTATTATATTAAATCAGAAACCTCTGGGAGATGATATCAAAATCAGTAGCAAGCTGTGTTGACTGTTCTGCACTAATAGAAACTGAAGGTGTGGTTATATTGCAAGCTTTTAAAATTCCCCATTGAGATATATTATCTTCTTACATACAGGTGAATCCTTGACTTTTCCTTTAATTATGTTCTTCCAAAATTTTAATCGAGTTCAATCGAACATAAGCTTCCCAGATCATTTTTAATACAACTTGAGTGCAACATAGGCTCACCTTCTAAGCCTCTGGAAATAATTTATTTTGTTAACTTATTCAAATGATGGAATCTTACCTACAATAGATATATTGACTCAAAAAGCAATAAAATACAAACATCTGTATGGTACCTATGAAGATAAGTGTTATTTTCACCTTCTTACAAAACTAATTTTACATAGTACTCTTTCCGCAGAGACACACGTAATGGCGATTTTATTTAGGGGTATTTCCTGAATGAAATCCAGTCACAGGCAACTATGCCTTATTTTTCCTCCTAAACAACTGTCATTAAGTCAGCTTAAGTCAGGAACAACCGTGTAGACCTGGACTGAGTATTATTGACCCTGAAGTGACTTTTGAAAATTGTATTTCTCATTTATTGAATGTATGGTAACACTGCAGTCCTGTCACACACTAGAATTTATTATACAGCCTATCTCCTCATAAAGCTGTTCAGAGATAGGTCTAAAAACACTGGGTGGAGGAAAATTGTCTGCATTTTCACTAGGAGGCTAGTGGATGGGCAGAAGTTTTCACTTTTTCTTAAAGGGAGGAATTTCAAGGTAATGTGAAAATCTTTGTCTATTTAGTGTTTTTAAGACAATCTGTTTTTCTGTTCTGATTTTCTAGTGAGAAACCCTTTTCTGCAGATACAGCATGTCAACCAGCCTACATTTATTTTTATATTACATGCCACCTTTTTGTTGTATCGATCCATTATTTATTGCCATTTACTGCCAATGTGAATCAAAAACATCAAGTTCTCCTTTTTTTATATATACAAGACATTAAGATGTTTGAAAAGTATAACAAACTGGATGTTATTTATTAACATATTATGAAATGTTTTGATCAAGTATGTGCTTGTCTATTAAAAACATTTTGGAATGTGAATTATGTTCCTGTGAATGGTTTTACTCCTTTATTTCCACCTGTAGATGCTTATAATGCTGTAAATAGATTTAATTAATATAGCAAACATTTTTTGAGATTTTACCAATGATTAGCTTAGTGTATCAAATTTATTATTTTTATAACTCCAGCTAACTCAAGTTTATGTGAAACACAAAGCAATCCTTAAGTTTCATCTAATTCAGCATCACGAAAAATTAATCCAGTTTAAACACCTCCTCTAACTGCTGTGTTTTATGCATGAAAATGAGACTTGCTATGCGATCAAAATGACGGAGACCAGGCAAGGTTTCCTCTTCTGTCTTTTTGATGCTATCAGGAAATAACACTTTTATTCAGGTGTATCAAGATTTTTTTTTCTTTTTGTAAATCTGCAGTAAGCCCATTGAACTGTGAATAGTCTGAAAGATCTGTATATATTAAAAACTTCAAAGAACTCACTCCATCTGATTTGTATTTATTCTTTGTGGAATAAAAGTTTGAAGATGTGGAAGGATAATAAGATGTACAGCTACATCAAATATGATGACATGGAAATGGTAAATTCGAATCCATTTTCTTTTTTAAATAAGCCTATAAAAGTCTGTGGTGATTGATCCCTCTCTACCGGTACAATTTTCTGAATTTATATTCTGGGGAACCTCCAAACGAAAGTTCCTTGTTCAATTATTATTTCATGGAATTTTAAAATATATAAAAATGATGCTGTCTTCTATCTATAGCTTTCCTGTGCTTCGACACTTTAAAAAAAAAATCTTTTCCTTATGAAAGAATATCGACTATTGCCTTTGGATTAAATTCTACCAATGTCCTCTGGGTATGAATGGTGAGAGAAGCAATAGATTAAATCGATATAAAAGAAGTATCAATTCTTCTTCTTCTTCACAGCAGTCTAACTCTTTAATATTATGCTGTGTGCAAAAAAGGTGGAAGTGAATGGACTTTTTTTTGTTGAAGCCACTTCATTTTGTTAGGAGACAAATTGTGCTGATGAAGTGCTTTTCTTATGTAGTTGTGGGCATTTAAGGCAGGGAAACATTCACAAGCATATGCCATATTCATATTTCAGAGCCAATTTAAAAAAAAAAAAGATCCCAGGGTGAAATAGCCATAATGCACAGATGGTACTGAGAAATAGATCAAAAAGTATAAAACAGGCATTTATAATTCAGGGATTTATTCGCTACAGCAGCCAATGGTAAGACCAGAACCAACCAATGGAAGCTTGGTAGACAGATCTAAACTTGAAATAAGGAGGAGTTTCCTGACTCTCAGAGGCATTAATAAATTGAATAACCTGTCCTTTTGAAGTACAGGGTCATCAGTGGACATTTTAAAGAGATGATTGAACAACTATTTGTCTCACAGTGAACAGGGTTTGGATTAGAAGACCTCCAAAGTTTCTTCCAACTCTGAGTCTCTGTTTACTGACAACACCCATCAACTGTAACTTGAACTTTTAACACTTCAAACTGATGACACTTCCACAAGAGCCTTGGTGGTGCAGCGGACTAAAGTGCTGTTAAGTAGCACTTAGCTGCCAGCTGCCTGCAATTACTGTGAGTTCAAATCTCACCAGGCTCAAAGTTGACTCAGCCTTCCATCCTTCCGAGGTAGGTAAAATGAGGACCCGGATTGTGGGGGCAATAAGCTGACTTTGTATAAAAAAGAACACCGCTTAGGGTGGTATAAGCAGGTATATACAAAAGTATGAAGGCTATTGCTTAACGCATTGTAAGCCGCCCTGAGTCTCTGGAGAAGGGCGGCATATAAATCGAACCAATAAATCTATATAAATAAAAATGTAAATGTCCGTTTGTACATAACCGCACATCTCCGAAAGTTCTTCACCGATTGCTTTCAAATTTTGACACAACGTTGCATTCGACTACGGGCGTGTTGTTATATACCTGTATTATATACATGTCACACCAGTGACAGGTAAAAACATGAAAAACATTGGAAAACATTGAAAGACATTGACAAACATTGACAAACATTGAAAAACAGCGCCATCTGCTGGATGTAAAACCAACATGGCAGCCTCCCAGCCCTGATTACGCTCAACAGATTTTTGCTTCTTATATTTAGACTCTCCATATTGCTTCTAAAAACCTGCGCATTTGGAAGGCAGAGATGCCCAAGAGCCATATCCTGCTACTAGACTCGCCAGGTAGGCAGCCGGCTCCCCGCCGGGAAGCCCTTGCAGCCGGCGCTTCTAGGGCTAGCCGAGGCCCACTCGAGCCTGGCTCTGACCTCCCCCTCCCCCTCCCACCTCGCAAACTAGCCTCACCCGCCACTGCTGCCCATCCCCCTCGCCAGCCGCTCTCGAGGCTCCCTCCAAAGAACACCTGGCAACGGGGCTGCCTGGGTCCTCTGAGCGGGAACCCTCCGTCCCTCACCGGAGGGAGGCTTCGGGGGGTGGAAACGGGCAGGAGGGAGGATGGCCGGCCCTCCTTCATTTCGCCTGGAAGAGCGGGGGAGGAGAACTGCAAAGCAGGGGTCCAGTGGGGTGTGCATGGCTCCTGGCTTTGTCACTTTCTTCCTTTGGGCGGGAAGCCCCAAACCATCCTCGAACCCCCGCCACACCCCCTCCCTCCCTCCCTTCCCTTCCCTTCCCTGCTATGTGTCTCCCCATTGAACCCCCAGAAAACATCTGTGTAGGGAGGACGGAGGGGCCCCCTGAGTTTCTGCTGTGGTGTGGAGGGCTGCGAAGGCCTGACCTGAAAAGATAAGGGTGATGGCGGGGAATGCAGAAGAGGCTGGGCCAGAGACAGAGATAAACAGAGAGAGAGGGAGAGAGAGACATAGAGAAATACAGAGACACAGGGGTGGGAGAGAGACACATACAGAGATACAGAGAGGGTGGGACACACACACAGAGATACAGAGAGGGTGGGAGAGAGAGACATAGAGATAGAGAGGGGGAGAGAGAGACACATAGAGAGATACAGACAGGGGAGAGAGAGACACATAGAGAGATACAGACAGGGGAGAGAGAGACACATAGAGAGATACAAAGAGAGAGGGGGAGACAGAGAGGGAGGATTTTGTGGTTCCCATTGTTTTTTAGCAACTGGTTCTCTGCCCTAATCACCAGCTGGGTAGGCGTGGCTCGGGGGCTATCATGTGACTGATGAAAGTGAGTGACGTCGAGTTGGCCATGCCCACAAAATGTTCATGGAGTTTGGAACTTCAGCCTCGCTCTTTTAGCCCAGTGTAAGCACCAGACTGGGCCACAGCAACGCGTGGCCAGGTACAGCTAGTAAATAAATAAATAAGGTCTTCACACTGCTCTAGAATTAATCATTCGAATGATTTTCTTTCCCTATTACCCTCTTCATCTGGGAAAAGAAGAAACCCATTTCATGCTTTTCTAAACATTTTGATCATGGGTAAAACTGCTTTTGAGGAATCCAAACAGTAAAAACTGGAATTTCATTTCCTGTGCCATTACAGATTTTTGCGTAGGTATAATATGTTCTAAAAATGCCAAATCATTTCTAAACATCAGCAGGCCCACAGGACAACATAAGAATCAAAGTATTCTGTTGTACGTTGAGTGATTTTTTTTTCCAGACCAGCTTCCCCACCCCTCGGCAAATTATCCCCCAAAACAAATGCTTCTTAAAATTAAAACCGGACGTAAATTTATTTTCCTCGAAAACTGAGATAACAGTAAAGCAAAAACCAGTTCATTTTAGTCCCAAAGGTGCTTTTTCAGGAGGTAACTGGACTTTCTGGTTTTTCTTCAGCTCTGGCTGGCTGGTGAGGAATGGAGGATTGATTCTCCACCATCCAGCCAGGGCTGAAGAAGCTTCTTGGATGAGAACGTCTTCAAAGAAAAACCAGTCCAGCTGCCTCTTGAAAAAGCACCTTTGGGACAACCATGACCTGGATGACTGAGAATCTCCATAAACAGTTCATTTTAGCTTGCAAATTCTCCTTTCCTCCTAAAAAGACACTCAGACAAAAGTCAGCCGGCTGGTTCTCAACAGGAGGGCTTGGTTGGGCTCTAACAGAATAACAAGAATAACAGAGTTGGAAGGGACCTTGGAGGTCTTCTAGTCCAACCCCCTGCTCAAGCAGGAGACCTTATACTGTTTCGGACTTCATTCCTGTCCTCTAACCAGATGCTAGATCCAGGATGATGGCTGTTAACAGATCCAGGATGTAGGTTGCACCTACAATACCTGGTTTCATACTTTTCATGTATTGTTACCGGTTGCATGATTGTTAAGTGCTTGCTACACAAAACGTTTTCTTTCCTGAGTTCCACAAATCAAAGGTACTAATGAGAAACTTTACCAAAGACATAACTAAGCCAGTAGAGTAATACCTACATATAAGAATGATAAAAATGACCCCCTAAAAATCGTATTTCCTTAGGTAACACAAGCTGTCACGGAGAGCGCGAGAGAGAAACAAACAATACAAGCAGAATTTATTTCTACTTTCTCGCGCGGTGGAGAAGCAAAAACTTCCTACACAGAGAATTCCTGATGGGGAGGAGGAGTAGCAACCCTCCCCCCACCCCCACCGTGAGATTTACTCGCAAGCTGGTGCTGTTCGAACACGAAGCAGCCCATCGGTATTCCTTTCGTGAAAGATCTTCGCTCGATCCCGCCAGATCCCCGAAGCGGTGGCGCGCCGTCATCTCGGGATGGGTATTTGGATATATTTTGTTTCTGTGAGGCAACTTCTTCCCATTTCTCCCTCTTTTTTTTTTTTTTCCCCTTATGGGAAGGGGCAGGCGTTCTCAAAGGACCACGTGAAGAGAAGGCGGAAGAAGCTTCCTTACACTCCGCCTCCTCTGCCTCGAAGTCCGGAAAGCGATCGTGAGAATCGCCCCTTCAAGGAAGGGGGCATGGCGGGGATCAAAGGTACAAGCCGCTTCCCCCACTTCTCTGGGGGTGGGTGAGTGGGTGGATTATCTTCAGGAAGTCGTAGATTTCCACCTTCTCATAGCGACCATCGCTGTGGCAACCGCATCTCTTCCCCGAGAGATCCCAAGATCTCTTATCTCTTTCCCATCTTGTCGCCGGCTACTCAGGCTCTCTTCGTAGTTTGGACGGCTCTTTTCTATTCTGCTGTTGCTAGTTGGTGGTGTCGCTTTCTCCTGCACCCTGCCTGGGGGTTCCCCAAAGACATTTCAGTCCCGCAGAAAACAGAGATCGAAGGAAAAAAGGATCCTCCCTCTGTCCTGCTTATTCAGCTGGTTCACTGGCAAGTGCAGTATGGACCTTTGGGTGCCAGGCAAAGTTTATTCTTTGCAGCGGCAATTCCTCCTCTTTGCCCATCCTCTAGAACAGTGTTTCTCAACCTTGGTAGCTTGAAGATGGGGTGGACTTCAACTCCCAGAATCCCCCAGCCAGCAACGCTGGCTGGGGGTTTCTGGGAGTTGAAGTCCCCCCATCTTCAAGCTTCCAAGGTTGAGAAACACTACTCTAGAAGCACTCCTTGACTGCTCCCTTGTCTCATCTCAGCAGATTTTTATTTATTTATTTTTTTTGGTGCATTGAAACCACTAAGACCAATTTGCCCTATTTCTGTTCCACTTTGTTGAACTATTTCTGTTCTGCGGCGTAATTAAAAATTCAAGCCAAAATCTAAGAACAGAAGTTCCCAATCAGGAAGGATAAGCTTTTGCAAGCGCCATCAAAGTTTGCTCCTTCGATAAACTGTAGTAAGTATGGAGGCCGCATTTTTAAGGGAAATATGAAATCATTCTATATGGTCAAGTGAAGGACATCTTAACATTCTATATGGTCAAGTTAAGGACTTCTCTGCTTAGAACTTCCATGATGTGTGCTAACATTATTTTTTTTATTTTTTTATTTTTTTTTATTTGATTTATATGCCGCCCTTCTCCGGAGACTCAGGGCGGCTTACAATGCGTTAAGCAATAGCCTTCATACTTTTGTATATTTTATACAAAGTCAGCTTATTACCCCCACAAACTGGGTCCTCATTTCACCTACCTTAGAAAGGATGGAAGGCTGAGTCAACCTTGAGCCTTGGAGAGATTCGAACCAGCAGAAATTGCAGGCAGCTGTGTTAATAACAGGGTGCACTAAACCACTGTACTATCAAGGCTCTTTTTTAAATTTTTAATTTAAAAATTAATTTTTAAAGAATGTCAGCAGCCAGTGATTTTATAACTATGTTTATGAGAGTTGGTTTATTAAAATTAAACTGAGTGTCATTCTTTTTATTTCTACTTTTACAGCTTTGGTTGGTTTATCATTCACTGGAGTCATTGGTTTGACATTTCTTATGTTGGGATGTGCCTTAGAAACATACGGGTAAGAACATATTAGTTTGAGTAAGAGAATATCAGTTCTTTGTTATCAATCATGTAAATTCTGAACACATTTATTTGGCATAAAAGTCTATAAATATAATAGAGTACAATTTGAATAGTAATGGTGGGATTAATACTTGGAAACGGTATGAAAAGAAAGGAAAACTGAACTAGTCCAGCAAAAATGTACCAAAAACAGAGGATTGAATAAATTTTAATTTAATTTAATTTATTAAAATTTATATGCCGCCCTTCTCCCGGAGGACTCGGGGCGGCTTACAACCATCACGTAGAGTAAAAACAATAACAATAGCAATAAATAAAGTTAAAAAAATATATAATTAAAATCCCACAATTAATTAAAAACTCCCAACAGATCAGACAATTTCAAAATCAGACAATGGAGGTCAGGGGCTGTCAGGAGCCCAGTGGGTAACTCGTTCCAGAGGGTCGGTGCAGCCACAGAGAACGTCCTCATCCTGGGCGCCGTCAGTTGACATTGTCTGGCAGACGGCACCTGGAGGAGGGCAGTCCTATGTGAGCGCACTGGGCGTTGGGAGGCCGGTAGGAGGTGCTCCTGCAAGTACCCCGGGCCCATGCCATGAAGGGTTTTATAGGTAAGTACCAGCACCTTGAAGCGGACCCGAAGGACCACCGGCAACCAGTGCAGCTCACGCAGGAGAGGTGTTACCCGGGAGTAACGGGAAGCTCCCGTAACAACCCATGCGGCCGCATTCTGGACCAGTTGGAGCCTGCGGGTGCACCCCAGGGCAGCCCCATGTAGAGAGCATTGCAGTAGTCCAAACGAGAGAATAAATGCATTCATATGTAGATCAAAGAAGTGGGAATTGGGGAAGCAGTACAAAGTGACTTATATACAGATAGTGCTCGACTTAAAACAATTCATTTAGTAACCAATATTATAATGGAACTGAAAAAAGTGACTTAAGATCATTTTTCGCATTTACGACCATTGCAGCATCCCTAAGGTCACATGATCAAAATTTGGACATTTGCCAATTGGCATGTGTTTATGACGGTTGCAGTGTCCCAGGGTCATGTTATCTTTTGTGACCTTCTGACAAGCTAAGTCAAAAGGGGAGCCAGATTCACTTAACAACCATGTTACTTAACTTATCAACTGCAGTGATTCACTTAACAACTGTGGCAAGAAAAGTCATAAAAAGGGGCAACACTCACTTAACAGCTGTCTTGTTTATCAATGGGAATTTTGGGCTCAATTGTGGTCATATGTCGAGGCCTATTTTATTTATCACGTGTGATGAGATAGGTATGTGAATGTATACAGCTGCATTTTTATATATGACAAAATAAGTTGATATTGCATATGCATTTATTTTAAACTCCTATTCTTTATCATTCTGCAGTACCTACTGGCCATTATTTGTCTTGATATTTTATGCCATATGCCCTATTCCTCACTTTATTGCAAGAAGAGTAAGCGATGATACAGACGCAGCAAGCAGTACTTGCAAGGAACTGTCATATTTTTTCACAACTGGAATTGTGGTTTCTGCTTTCGGACTTCCTATCATTCTTGCACGTGTTGAAGTGGTAAGTCCTGTAGCAAGACAATGAGAGTCAACATGTATGTGCGCAGAATTCTTGCTATGTGGAAGAATTCTTAACAAATGATTTCTGTTAATTAGCACATTTATAACATTGTCATTGAAAAACATTGTATACCAGGTTCTTGATACAATAGGACCGTTTCTTTCAGGCATTCCCTTCATAAGTGCCAGGAGACATTGCATTAATATATTGTGCTAAATTATGGTTTAACAAATCACAACTTCAACCACAAACCACAAGCTGTTTTGGAAGTGATCATGGCTGGGTTTTTGATCAGATAATCAATATATTTTATTGAGGTCACAGAACAATAGTTAAGATTTATGACATTGCTTCAGGCAATAAGAAAGAAAATAACATCAATAAGAAAGAAAATAGCATACAGGATTAACAAGAAAAAAGATGACTTTTTATCTTCGTGTACTTTCTACTGCTTGTAATATTGCCATGTCTGGCAAACTGCCAAACAAAATTGTGTTATTTGTTACTTTGAAACTTCATCTGCAAGCAAAAAGTTCAGATAAAAGTTATCTAGATTTTTGTATTAAGGAAATGCCATAGATAATCATTATGGAGTATGCAGTACAGAAAAATGGGTTACTATTTCAGTTCTCTCCCACGAATATTTGCTGGGAATTGGGAGGAATTGCTGAAGGGATGCTATTAAAAAATGCAAAAATGAACATTCTCTGATGCTTTGGAAGAATAAGCTGTTTTTTTTTTTTTTTAATTTGATTTATATGCCGCCCTTCTCCGGAGACTCAGGGCGGCTTACAATGCTTTAAGCAATAGCCTTCATACTTTTGTATATATTTATATATTTATACAAAGTCAGCTTATTGCCCTCACAACTGGGTCCTCAATTTACCTACCTTAGAAAGGATGGAAGGCTGAGTCAACCTTGAGCCTTGGCGAGATTCGAACCTGCAGTAATTGCAGGCAGCTGGACTTAATAACAGGGTGCTTTAAACCACTGTACTACCAAGGTTTGAGATGTTTTCTGTCTGCAGATTAAATAACTAGTTCCTAGTTAGTATATTTGCAGAGATTCTATCTTGATGAACCAAAACTAGTGATATGTGAATCAACCTGTTTTTCAACAGTTAAACTCATGCAGGCCCCACCTGTGGCTTGTTGAATTTCATTACTTGCTAAAACATATGCCATGACTTGTTGACTACAATGGCCTATTTCTGTATTATGCTAAATTATAATCTAGCACACTACTACAGGAAGAAGAGTAAAAAAAATATTCACATATTTAGATGATAGAGTGTATATTTTTAAAGAGGTGGTGTTATTTATTTTCTTTAATTTTGGACTTTGAATTATTTTTTCATAATTTGTGTTGGAAGTTGCAAAACTTGATTTTGATATGTACTATCTCTTTTTTTTCACCAGTGGGAATAAGTGTACTGCATGAAAGGTCCTTGATGCTCTCTGAGCTTTGTAGTTTTCTTGCAAACATTTCATTACCCAAACTATATAATATCATGTATATTATATAGTTATACATACATACATACATACATACATATATGTATGTATGTATGTATGTATATGTATATATGTATTTATATATACAGTGTGTATATATGTATACAGGGGCATGGTGGCTCAGTGGTTAAAGATGTTTGGTATTCTGACTTAGGCTTCCTGATATAGTAAAAAGCACACAATTACTCCCAAACCCCCCCCTTTTTTATTTTAATGGCTGTGAATTCCTTTCATTCACAGCATGTACTGAATCACTAAAAGTTTATAAATAGTCCAATAGAAGTCTGGCACAGTCCTTCGGATAAGGCTGGTAAACACCCACCTTTATCTTCTTTGACACGCTGCTAAAGACTTAATTGGCAATTATCTTGGCAAGGCCACATGGAAACACAGAGTCAAAAATGGAGCTTTTGGACACCATCCAAAAATGGATGGTGTTGGTACAAACCAACACCATCCACAACGTTGCTTCCTGCAAAGGCCCAAGTGCCTTTGCTCTTCCTTTATGTCTTATAAGAGGGGCCAATCATCTCCAAGCCTTACTCCCAAGTTGTCCCTTTTGTTTTAACTGTTCTTGCGCATTCGCACACTAGGAACAGGCTCCTCTGTTATGTCTCCTGTTATGAGTTTGCACATAACTCCCAGATGGTCCTGGTCCCATCTCTGCCTCCGACGCAGAGCCCTCATCCGAGCCTTCTCCAGACTCCAGGACTGGCCCATGTTCCTCCACAGCCTCCTCACTGTCCGACTCTGCTGCCAGTTCTGCTGGCAGACCATAACACTTGGCTTGTCAGCTAAAAAGCTGATAGCCCACGTTCAAGACCCGAGTGCTGCACAATGGCATGAGTTCCTGTCCTTGGCCCAACTGCTGTCCACCTAGTAGTTTGAAAGCATGCAAATGCAAGTAGATAAATCGGTACCACTTCTATGGGAAGGTAATAGCATTCTGTGTGCCTCTGCATAATGTCATGCTGGCCATATGACCACGGAAATGTCTATGGACAACTTTGGCTCCCACAGCTAAGAAACAGAGCAACGCCTCCTAGAATTGGACATGAGTGGATGGGGGAAATCTTTACCTTATATGTATGTATGTATGTATGTATGTATGTATGTATGCATGTATGCATGTATACAGTGTACTGTTGTGTTGCTATATACAACAATAACCCTGATAAATTTTGGTTACATTTAGAATGAATGGAAAATGCAACAGAAGTAAAAATATATTTAGCATTGTTGCATTACATTAATTTTACATCTCCTGTTACTCTTGGTTGCTACATTCAGTGATGAATCTCCTTCCAGTCCATTCACGTTGTTCTCAATATTAATTCTGTGTACCTTTATTTATTTGTTATTTTTCAATTTTTAAAATCCTGCCTTTATTGTTTTTATAAATAACTCAAAGCAACAAACATACCTTCCTCCTCCTATTTTCCCCACAATAACAACACTGTGAGGTTAGTTGGGCTGAGAGACAGATGTTTATTATACCGTATTTTTTGGAGTATAAGACGCTTCGGACTATAAGACGCACCTACCTTTTTTGGTGAGGAAAACAAGAAAAAGAAATCTGCCTCTGCCTCCCAGCAATTTTGCCTGGTTGCAGCAAACAGCAAATAGCCTGATTTACTTTCATTTTCGTTTTCAGCATAGCTTGATTAGCACAAGAAAAAAAAAATCTGCTCCCAACAATTTATCTCCTTGCAGCAAGCAGCAGAGGACTGCACAGCAATAGGCAATGGCAATCCCTGCAGCCTGAAACAGCTGAGAGTTGGGAGGAATCAACTTGTGCTAATTAGGCTGTGCTGAAGCTAAAATGGGCTGTTTCTTGCTGCTTGCTGCAAGGAGGTAAATTGCTGGGAGGCAGTGGCCAAAGGGTGGGGGCCAGTGGGTGGGCAGGGCTACATTTGGTGTATAAGATGCACCCAAATTTTCGCCCCCTTTTAGGGGGGAAAAAGGTGTGTCTTATACTCCGAAAAATACGGTAATTCTATTGATTGTGTTTGTCGTAATATACTGAGTGCCCAGTAGGATTAGTTAAGCAATGGGATACCCAGTAAAACAACCCAATAGATTTCTTCAGAGTTTTTGAGCTTGTCTTGATGATTAAATAATGGGTGCTCTTATTAAAACATAATTATAAATATATCTATAGTTCTCATCTTAGGTTATAAGGTTGTTTCTCAATTTCTTGATTCCATTTTTTTTGTGTTAATTCCTTGACTTGTTGCAGTTATAAAATTGTCTCTGCCAATTTCTGAGAATATTAGCAATAACACCTAATATTTTCTGCTATACTTTTGGCTAAGTGTATTTTTTCTCATGAAAGATACAATATAAGAAAAAACCCAATTCCACAGTCATACCACTAGAGGGAGCTCTAATTCTTTCCTATTCTTACTAAAATAAATTTAGCTCCTGGTTAAAAATATAAAATGGAGAAAAACATTTTCTGACAATTTTCTTTGGAGAGGAAATGTAAGCTCTGTCATATCCATAGATCTTAAGATTCATCATAAGAAAATAAATTAATAAGGCACAATCCTATCCCCGCAAATGAGGACTGCAGCCAAGAAATTAAAAGACAGTTGCTCCTGGGGAGGAAAGTTATGGCAAATCTAGATAGCTTACTAAAAAGCAGAGACATCACCCTGCCAACAAAAGTGCATATAATCAAGTCTATAGTTTTCCCAGTTGCAATGAATGGCTGTGAAAGTTGGACCATAAGGAAGACTGAGCGCCAAAGAATTGAGGCCTTTGAACTATGGAGCTGGAGAAGACTCCTGCGAGTCCCTTGGATTGCAAGGTGATCAAACCTGTCAGTCCTAGAGAAGATCAACCCTGACTGCTCTTTAGAAGGCCAGATCCTGAAGATGAAACTCAAATACTTTGGCCACCTAATGAGAAGAAAGGACTCACTAGGAGAAGAACCTAATGCTGGGAAAGATTGAGGGCAAAAGAAGAAAGGGATGACAGAGAACGAGGTGGCTGGATGGAGTCACTGAAGCAGTAGGCCTGAGGTTAAATGGACTCCAGGGGATGGTAGAGGACAGGAAGGCCTGGAGGAACATCCATGGAGTCACGATGGGTCGGATACGACTTTGCAACTAACAGCAACAACTTGATATTGTATAACCAGCGTGAAGGGACATGATGGCTCAGTGGCTAAGATGCTGAGCCTGTCGATCAAAGGTCAGCAGTTCAGCGGTTCTAATCCCTAGTGCCGCGTAACGGGGTGAGCTCCCATTACTTGTCCCAGCTTCTGCCAACCTAGCAGTTCGAAACCACGTAAAAAATGCAAGTAGAGAAAATAAGGACCACCTTTGGTGGGAAGGTAACAGCATTCAGTGAGCCTTTGGTGTTTAGTCATGCCGGCCACATGATCACGGAGACGTCTTCGGCCAGCGCTGGCTCTTCGGCTTTGAAACAGAGATAATCACTGCCCCCTAGAGTTGGGAACGACTAGCACTTATGTGCGA